ACATTGCACATAGGGGTTACTTTGTTCAATTACAAGCGGCCACAGGGTGTGTCAGCTACATACAAGACACGTTATATTCTCTTTACATGAATACGAGATATATATATATGTATAATTTCCCATAATGTTTTTCATAAGGTGATAAAACCATAGAAGAATAATGTGAAGTCGTCAAAGAATAATACTCCTACCTCCATAGTGCAAGGTGTATGTGTTAATAATTACTCGTACAAATTAGTTTTCAATCTAGGCCCTATTATATTTTTTTTTTTTTTTTTTTTTTAACTTATTTTAGAAACGATAAGTTTAAATAAGTTTTGATAAGAGTTGAGGTTACCCAAGTTCAATTTTTATAACTAAAATTAATTTTAATAAATTCTAATAATAAGTTTAATAAAAAAAAATAAAGATAAGCTCAAATAAATTCACATTAAGTTTTGATAAGTTTAAAAATAAAAAATAAAGGTTAGTTTAAATAAATTCTATTAGGATAAGTTCTGATGAATTCAACTCATGCACACATTAAAAAAAAAAGTATTTTGCTCCATTCGTTGTAGGTTACCACTTACCATATCTATAGGCTTCTTCCAATAATAATAATAATAATAATAACTAAATAAATAAATAGTATGCCTCAAAAATAAAAATTATATACTTCGTATATAGTAGTAGGCTTCATGTTGGGGATGCAAGCTATTACGTCTTCTTACCATATTTTGAAAAAAAAAAAAAAAAGCAAGAACAATCCATAAAACAAGCTTTACTGCTTTTTAGGGTCAATAATTTAAAATAAAAAAAAGATACGATTAATGGATAATGTTGGTAGGTTAGGTTTGTTGGCCTACAACCACCAGGTGCTACTTTAGTTTCTACTCATTTCAGACGAAGTACTTCGTATTTAGTTTCATAAAATAAGAACGTTTTATCTTTTTTCTGCAGAGAAGAAAATTTTGGGCTACCTAAATAATCTTTGTAATTTATAGGAGTATTTAATTTATGTATTATGTATATGAAAATTTACATTATAATAAAGAGTACAATATTTAATTTTTTCTTAAGAAAATCTATCTCACTAAGTATACTTTGTCAAGGCTATAAATAAAGTAGAGAACGAAAAGAAAACCATCATATTAATTAAATGAACAACAAAATGAAGCCATCTATCGGGACAATTAGTAAATAAAAGACACTCTCTGGTGGACGAAACGAAAAATTACCAACTTCGATCCCACATATGAGTATATGGCATATGTGAACGGTGGGAAACCAAACCAAAGAGACAGTTACTTATCTAACCGAAACTAACGTTAAAATAAATTTATTAATAAGTAGGTACCCTGTAATCGCGCTTAAGAAATGAGATAGCAAATCCAATTTGCACAAAATCAAACACTACTATACTCTAACCTTAACTATAGGCAACGATGACTAAATTATACAACTCGGATTCTTGCACAAAATACAATTAGAGGTTGACCAAGAAAACTCCAGGTTTTAGAAACTTCCAATAAACGGCAAAATTGACCAAATTTTTACTAGTATTTATTTTCATAAAACATGGGGCATATTATATAAAAATAAATTATAATATAAGGTGTGACCAATAAAAAGTGTGATGTATTTGCATGTGTTATGTGTATGATTTGGGCCATTGGTAGCTGGCTAGTGCACCTAACAATTAAACATGCATGGGGTAGAACAACTATATAAATTTTAGATAACAAGTAACAAGTAATTTAATGGGAGAATATAGCAAAGGTCTAGAAAAATGATTGGAACTTTATTTTGGAAGTTTACGTTGTGTCTTTCTTGTTTTCTAACTCTCTTTTGCCTTGTTGAAAATTGAGACTTTGATTTAATTATTTTTATCTCTCAAGACTTGATTTTTATTTTACGAAATTCTTTATGATTATGGATGACGATGTATATGTTAACTTAGTTGATAAAGTCTTTCAAAATTTTACACCATATTATATTTGTAGCTTGAAAGTTTGTCAAGGTGTTGTAGATGTCAACTTTAACTTGGTTAAAGCATCAACGGGATGATACTTGAAATCTTTGATCAAATTATGAATTATGTATTGTGCATTTTCAAAATTCTAAGTTTTATCGTCAAAATTTTTCATAGATTAAACTCTATATATGTTTTAAAAAATAAGTTTTGCTTCCAAATAAATAGTTGCCACATATTCTTTCAAAATGCCCTAATTTAATTACCTTAACACATATAATAAAGTGTCATTTTAAGTATATAACATTTCTATTTGTTTCAAATTGCAAGCCATACACGGTTCATTCACTTTTTATCCTACGTTTTCACTTTCATAATACCTTATAATAAAAGTTTATATTGTTTTTTATCTGGAATAAAGGAGTCACATTTAATAAAATAAAAACTATGCAATGGGAATGTAGGTTGCCATGTCGTCCTTACAAAATAATAAATTATACCTATAGAATGATTATAATTAAATTAAGCTAAACCTAAATAATAATGACAAACAGGAAAAGCTCTAAAAACACCATGGCATTCCTTGCTCATTTAGCTTTAGTTGTACCATGATGAATAAAGTAGCAATCTTAATTCGGTGGTTTAATAATTTCAGAAGCATATGGCATGTGATCTTAAAGTTCTCTTATCTACTACTAATACTACTTAAGTACTTAGTATAAATAATAAAATATATTTATAAAATGATTTTTATGTATGATTAAGTACGCCAAGAACTATGGAGAACTTTCCTGTCTCTTCCTTTTGTACCATGTCATTCCCATCCTATTCTCTTCTCTGTTTGGACTTTTGGCCCACATTTTGAGTGTTTAATTGGTTGTAATTTTAAAGAATAGTCCATACTTCCCTAGCAAATAAAGTAATAAATAATTTATATTACTAGTAGGTTTATATAAAAAAAGGTTTTGTTCTATCTGACTTATTAAATCCAATATTTATACTATTTGAGCTTGAAATAATTTTCATTATTGATTACTTATTAATTGTAACAAAAAATAAGTTAGAATGCTTAAAGTGTCTTAAGCATCTCTAGCCATTTCCAACTCTTCAAAGTTCCCCCAAATAAACAGTGTGATTATCATTGATGAATTGACATTTTTTTTTTTTGGTAAAAAAAATAGTTTTACAAGAGCTACGTACTCGATAATGATTTTATGAAGTTGATAATTACATCAGTCCATCTATTTGTGACATATTTTACAAAAGATCGATTATGTTATTTTAAGCATATACTTCGTATGTGAAATTTTAGAAAGTTAACTTGAAGAAATATGTTTTTGAAGTAAATTATGACTAATGATCAATTGATCATATATTCATATATGAAATGATTATACTATCAAATAAAAAGCTCAATTCGAAGTTAAATGGCCTAAACCCATTGAAAATGAATGTTCAAAGGATATGAATTGTACAAGGTTTTGACTTATGGCTTAATGTTGGATATCAGGCCCATCATTAGAAAATTTGATGGACTATAAAGTCCAATTGCAAGAAATAGTATATATTTTGGACTATAAACATACCATTATCAATTTTGGATATCAGGCCCATAACAATTTTGATGGACTATAAAGTATAATAACACAAAACAGGCAAATGTTGATGGGCCATGGAATTACCATTAATGGACCTGATTGCACAAAATCTGATACATAATGGACCAATTAGTAACAGTAGCAGAATTCAGTAACAGCAGGTTGCTAATATTGAATGTCAAATTTATTGATTTGGTAGTCCATTAGGTATTACAACATGGGAGAACTTAATCACAAGGAAGTTCTTAAGGAGATTAGGCGATTACTTTAAAATGAACGATGTAGTTAAAATTATCGTGAAAAAAATAATAAATCAATTGAACCATAAACATTGATATAGCTTCATACTCGTAGACAAAGCTCATCACGAGGTTCTATCTTTAATGAATTGATAATAAGTGGATTAGTATGCTAGAATCACACACTACAAGCTTGATTGCAACATAATAGTTTTTTTGAAATAGAATGAAATCATCTAATGTTAAACAACTTATAGAATAATACGTGCAAAAAGTCCATTGTAGAACACTTAAGGATTCCAATAGGCGAGGGTGTAGTGAGAGTGAGAGGGCTTATGTAGTTTTGTAGTATGATAAAAACTTCAACATTGATACCCGCACTAATAAACACGAGTGCAATTAGAAACCAAATATTTCGACTATGTCATTCCCATTAATTTGGACTTGAATTGTCTACTTTTAAATGTTTGCGATCAAGGTAATATAAAAAATAACACAATCTTGAACTAATTGTCCTACAGGTTATAAGTTAAAATGTTTAGACCATTAATATATTTTAATGCTATTTATAAATTATAAACTGAATAATATTTGGTGAAAGTCATGGATAATTGACACATTTATTACTACTCTTAATTACTAGTTGCTTTCAACGGATGTTATCGAGAACGGAAGAATGATACAAAGTTAATACTCCTAATGAAACCTAAAAGTGATACATTTGGAAGTTAGATAATGGAGGCCAATGCAAACTTGTACAATTATAGTATGATTATTACAAAGATAACAAAGAGGAACATCTATAATACAATGAAAAGAAAGAGAAAAGATCAAGACACCAATTAATGGAAGTTTAGCCTTCAAGGCAAAGATTTCTCTAGCATTATAAAAAGAAAAAAAGACTTTTTGTCATTGACGATTAATAATAATTATCGGTATAATATTTTGAAATATCCGACATACAATATATATTAAATTAACTTTCTTTGAATATATATATTTAAATCAATTTATTAAAAGATTAATATAGGGTTACAATTATTGGGCCGACAAAAAGGTGTTTTTAAATTAATACAAGTATACTTAAATATTCAATGATTAAGTAGGATTAGAAATAGGATTAATATTTAATTAATTTCTCCCTTAGAAAAATAAAATAAAATAAATTAAATAAAGAGTTTTTACAAAAATAAAAAAAAACATAAATAAAAATACACTGGTTGATATTTGACGCTTTCTCTCTCCTCCATCTCTCTTTCTCTCTCCTCAAATCTCTCTCTTTCTGTGTCCGAAAGTTGGTGGAAGGAAGAACAGACAAAACGAAGAAATTTTGCGCACCAAACATCCAATTTTTTCAACCAATTTTTTATTGAAATAATTGTAAGTTTTTTTTTCTTTTTCAATATTTCTAAATTTATGGCAAATTTTTAATCCAATTCAATGAATTTTAGCAAATTTTGTTGATTTTCAGCTGAAATTGGAGTAATTTTAATAAAATATTATTAATTTATTGGTTAATTTGATAAAGTTGATGCAAATTTGAAGATGTGAGCTGTTTGAGCTCTGTTTTATAGAGATTAATTAGGGTTTTTGGTGTATTGAATGTAAGCTGCGGTAAATCTGTTCTAAGTTTGTTTTTTTCCCTATTTATTTTTGTTGTGATGGAAATTGCTAGATTAAATTTCTTTGGTTTAACTATAATTTTAAAATGAGCTGAAAATTTGATTTGAGCTAATTTTTTTGACTTGAGCTGGTATTTTCTGGAGTTATTAATTTCCTTTAAGTTTTGTTAATTTATTGTAATTATTGCTTGGTAATTTTGGTTGGTTACTTTTGGTTAATTAATTTTGGTTGGAATTTATGTTTTATGATTAGTTATTGTGAATTTGTGAGGAAGAAATGTTGGTTGCTTCATCATTCGAATAACATATCACATGAAGAATAGCTTATTCTTTTCCTCATTGTGTGGGGGAAGTAATCATTCTTCTTACATTTGGGTGACCTTGTTTTATAGTAATGGATTGAATATGTGCTTTTTGTTGCCCCTTTAAAATGCATGATGACTTGATGAGGACTATGGAGTTAGTTTTCTCGCTCGGGGGGATTCGAAGCTTTTAACATTGGGTGTGTTACTTTCTGTTTTACAAGTATATGTTCAATATTATGTTGAAAATTTTCGCTACAGGTTGCTCTCGCTGCCTTCTTTGTTGCTTGGATATAAGCATATAACGATATATGTCTCGTGCTGAAATTTCATATACAAAGTAAAATACTTTACTTACGAGCTCGTGTAGTACTCGCCTCTATCTCATTACCTGTGCCAAGCATTTTGAAAGCTTGTGGTGTGTTTAGTGTCGCCTGGTTTCTGTTTGTACTTGACTATTGAATGCTGAATATTAAACAGATAGCTTAAATCTGTGGATTGTTTTTGCTTTTTAATATTTTTAATTTTTTTTATACTGTAATTTTTTTCTAGCTTTAGGTGATTGAATGTAGTTTTTTCTCCTCTTGAATTCCTTTGTATTTCCTCACAATATAAAGGTCTACAACTGAAAATTCTATGGCTTGGATGTGGTTTTGCAGCTTCAGCCCGAACAAACATATTTCTACAGAGTTATATTGAATATTAGTTGGCAAAATGAGGTTTTGAAGTGTTGCTCATTCTGGTGAATCACCATCCTATACTTATTATCTTTTAGTTAATATTGGAAGACTATGGCTGTTTCATCTCAGGAGCCAATGCAAGAGAGTCAGGCTGACCATTTTCCGTTGCTTATGGAGGGGCATACTAACCATGGGAATGATGTTCACGTAATTGATATAGAAAGAGGTGGTGAAGCCTCCTCTTCAAATACAGCTAATATAGAGTTTTCTCATGCTGGCAATTCTAACAATGATCATAGGGAAATAAATGGCATGCAAGCACCTCCATCAACATCACCTCCACCTACTCACACGATTACTAGGAGCTCCTCTTTTGTTAGGAGAAATGAGGGAATTGGCCGGCGGAATTGGAGTCCTTTCAATTCCGGCTTTTGGATATCCATTGAGCTAGTATTCACATTGAGTCAGATTATAGCATCCATGACTGTCTTGTATTTGTCACGACATGAACATCCTCAAGCTCCATTGTTTGCTTGGGTTGTTGGGTACACAGGTGGATGTTTTGCAAGCCTCCCTGTACTCTATTGGCGTTTCCTTCACCGTAACCAGGGGGCTGAACGGGGTGCACTTCAAGCAAGCCAGACATCTCCTCGCGCAAACTCATCATCTGGCCCAAATTCTTATGTAACTATTTCCTTAAGTCAGCCATCAGAACAAGAAGATCATCAGAATGCACCTAGAACTACTTATGAAAGTCAAACAATGGGTATTGCAACTACAAGGTACCAACTTATTCATGATAAGCCTTTTTTTTTAAAGTTGTTAAATTGTCCATCAAGATGATAGAGCAAGCATTTGCTTGTATCTATTAAGGGCTTATATCAAGAATGTGCAATGTATGAAAGAAGTACATGATGTGGAGAGGCTTTCCACATTAATTATTGTATATTTCTTACCTGGCTTTTTCATTATGTTCTTGCCCACTTCTCTTTGCACTTTCAAAACATCAGTAAATCTTAGAACTTGTATTTATGGATAGGTTTCATCAACATCTAACTGTGACTTCTTGTAGCCTAGTAGTTAGTTCTACCAGAGAAACATCATCTGCGTTTTTTTTTTTTTTTTTTTTTTCATCCTCAGTTTATTTTACTACTTGTATCTATTATGTGGATGTTGAACATGCTTTGTGCTGAAGTATTTTTGTCTCTCTTATTCTTTTTGCAGGATTGGTTTGATAATGGACCACTTCAAAATGGCATTGGATTGCTTCTTTGCTATTTGGTTTGTTGTGGGTAATGTTTGGATATTTGGAGGACATGCATCTGCAGCTGAGGCTCCTAATTTGTATAGGTATGTTCATTGGTCCTTGGCATGAAGTTTCGAGCTCCTTTTTGCTCATACAGAATCTAACTATATTCTGGATTCTTTCAGGTTATGCATTGTTTATCTTACATTGAGCTGCATCGGATATGCCATGCCTTTTATTTTGTGTGCAATGATATGCTGCTGCTTACCTTGCATAATATCAGTCCTTGGGATCCGTGAGGATCTAAACCAAGTTCGAGGAGCTAGTGAAGAGTGCATAAATGCTCTACCAACCTACAGATTCAAGACAAAGAAAGATGAAGGTGGTACCACAGAAGAAACTGACTATAATGAAGGGGGAATTGTTGCTGTAGGAACAGAGAAGGAACGCACCATCTCTGGGGAAGATGCGGTAAGTCACAGGACCTTTATCTTTTGATTTATGTTTTGTTCAGGATATGTGATTTTAAGGTTATGCTGAAGTAGATTGCAGCTATTTCTTGTCCTGTTGATTGTCCCTCCCTTTCAATTGTCGTTCAGGTTTTTCAATATAGTGCTCTGCAGATTTGCAACTTTGATGCAGAGTTTCCAAAATCTAGCTATGCCCATGTTCTCTAATAACTACCTGACCCAGTCTTTATTGTTTACTGACTGAATTGTATGAAACTGAACTAAGTGGGAAAAGAATAAAAAATCCTTTTTGCCTCCCTTTTCCCCTTGAATCTACATCCCCCCTTATACAATGCCCTTCATTGTTCTGTAACATAAATCTGATCTTTATGTTTCCATCATCACAGGTATGTTGTATTTGCTTGACAAGTTATTTGGATAATGATGAGCTGAGGGAGCTACCCTGTACTCATTTTTTCCACGCAGAGTGCGTAGATAAATGGCTAAAAATCAATGCTACCTGTCCACTCTGCAAATATGAGATCGTTGAAAAAGACGAGACACCACCATCACCAACAAATGCCGCCTCTCCACAATCATGATATATTCAAAGTCTTATCATCTGTAGATTCCCCAGAATTGGATCAGGTTAGTGAAACCAAAGTTTTTTGTCCTTTGGTTTCAAGTTTCATGGTGGAACTTTGTCAGTAACTCCTCTCCTGATAATACAAGTTAAAGTTGCCTTCCATTCCACCGATCCTCTTGATTTTATTTTCTACCTTTTTTTTTTCTTTTAAATTGTGCTTTAGATTGCACAGGAATGTACAGTTGTAATCATCCAAGATTCTGTAAGATGCTTGTACAGATGATAAATCATTACCTAAATAGGCCATAAAATTGAAGGTGACGACGATTTGTCGACCGACCGCCATCCTAACCTGTAACCTGTAACCTGTAAGGATGAAAAGAACATTGCTTAATACGAAGTATACTATAGTTTCACTACGGAGTATGTTGTAGCAAAGGGCGAAACAGGTTTTTGTTAGTTGTTACCCAATAGGCCAATAGCATTATAGCAACTTCTATTTATTGGACTGGCAATTCTGGTGCAATATATTTTTTTTCTTTCTCTTTTTTTTCACTGAACTACTGTACTATTTTGTTGTGAAATGAACTTAGGAGCTTGTAACAAATTGTTTTAGTTTGGTGTTATAGTGTTATTAATGTTTAACCTTTTTCATCTTTGACTGAATGTTTCATCTTTCTACTTTTAGCTTACATAATGTTTAATCTTTCTACTTTTAGCTTACATATATCATTTGTCATTTAATATGCCTCTGGGCAATAGGTGTTGCTAATTTGCTATTAGACCTACCCTATATACATTTTCCAAAGGCATTATATGATCAACAACATAAACTGTATCATTTTGCTAGGGAGTGAAGGAACCGTGCAACGATGACTCATAAATCATACAGTATAATGATGCAAATGAAATTCAATCTCAATCGAGTAACTCCCAAAAAACTTAGGAAGTAAACTTGTTAGGTTTTGCGCAAGAGTTTTATGTTAAATCTCGATAATGCTTGTTTCGTGAATTGTCAAGTTTGAATTTGAAAATCAAAGTCTAAAGACTAAAGCACAATATACAAAAATGCTTAAAGAAAGCATCAATTACTCCTCTTTTCCTCAATTATGGGGCATGGACTAATCACACTAATGGGAATCAACCTTTTTCTTTTTTTTTAACACCACAACTACTAAAGTTGGGAGGTGGGACTCTGCTAATGAATTTCAACTGCATAGTAAAATTTGTTAACAGTGCTACTGGTTTTTATATATTACTAATTTTTATTTTTCTGATAAAAGTCAAGTTTATTATGACTTATTTGAAAATAAAGACTGTATTATCATGGTATTGATTTATATTGTTGGGTCAATCCATGTATGTTTTAATTGTTGAATAGTGGTGGAATTTGTATGTTTAGTAGACTGTACTCTTCTGTCCGGAGCTAATTGTCATGTTAAACGTGTAATTTGAACTACTGATCTGACCACTAATCTTAAACGAAGGTAGTACGTTAAACATCATTGATTTTATAACAGTGCCAAGAAATGTGGTTTTCAAGGACTTATTGCACACCTGTTTGTTCCGTGACATAATCACTCTGAATAATAACAAAGTGCACATTTGCTGCAGTTAGATTTTTTTTGGGTTTCTTATGACCAGAAAATAAGAGAAGCTGGGTAGAAAAACAACCATCTGTTTCAATAATTTTCAATTTGGATTAACTGATGTAATCCTGTAATAGAATTCAACAGTTGTTTAACACCAAAGTACCGCAACTAACTAGAAAGTGTAGGATTAGCTTATAACTCAAAATTTTGCAGAGAAACTGTGTACTCTGCACAATCTAACAGACTAACATCCTCTAGGAGCCTAAAATGAACAATAAGCCTGGAAAACTATGCTGCTGGTGCGTAATCATATCCATCATCATCGTCATCATCTCCTTCTAATCGTGTTTTTGGAGCATAATATTCACAGCCTTTGGAATGTTTGTCTTCCATACAAGCTTCAAATGCATATCTGTTCACGTTTTTCAAATCAACAATTCTTGAATTGATTGACATTTTAAGTAAAAAATGGGGAACAAAGGAGAAAATGTTGATACTGATGGTAATGGACTTGTTTTATGTTTAAAAGTTAAAACTAGAGTTGGATGTAAGTTGGTGTTTGAGAGGTATATGAGAGATGCTTATATAGATAATGGATTGTAAAGGAAAAAAAATGAGAGCATGTTGGGAATAACTATGCAGCATTCATGGAGGATGCACACAGGCAGCCAGGCAGGCGCCACACGCCAAATGACACATGACACAAACATGCATATCATTGTTCCAACTCTAACACACTCAGGGAGATATTCTGGTGACTCAGTACACCAAGTCACCAAGCCAATAATAGAATTATCCTCTGAAAATCCTTTAGATTTGTGAGGCAACGTTCAATTCACGTGTTTCAAAACAGTGTATTTGTCTAACAAACCAGGCAAGAAAGTAAAAGCATGACAAACTTTTCGCCTTGTGTTAGTTGCCTAACTGTCATGCAATTAGTTTGAATCTTGGAAAAGGGAAGTATGAAGGGATTTTCTGTTGTTAACTTCTAATTTAAACAAAAATAGAAACACTTACTCCAATTCGTTCTGTAAAACATACAAATTTTATTTTCTGATTACTCTATCTAAATTAATTACTCTACTACACTACTACTAAAAGCTTAATTCGCAATTTTATTTGGACTCTTAAAATGTTAAGTCTTAACTCTTAACACACTTGCACTTTTAGTCATTCCCTTCACTTTCTATTAGAATGTTGGAAATCAGAATTGTCCTTACATACAGAGGCAAAGGACTACATGTGGATATTGCAAGTGATGCTCACTTGGAAATGTGCATTTGCCAAATTCTCGGCCTATGTGGAATTGCGCAGTCTAGTCACATAAGCGCTCAGGAGACAGCTCAGCAACACGTCGATTTGGATTTAGGCATGCCATAAGTGACCTTTGGCATAAATCAAAAGTTATTCCTGATGCAACAGAGATAATACAGGGTCCATTACATCAAAAACTCAAAAAGTAGAAAAGATAAGGAATTATTCCCCTGTGGTGAAGCTACTTTTGAAGAAGCATCTTGGTCTTAAATTGTTTGGGAAATTGGAGAATTGTCATATCTTTGTTGCAAAATAATGCTATCTAAAAGTTCTGTGATTAATACAATGATGTATTCATATAAACTTGTACGTAATATTACCTTATTGCATTGTATAGACGAAGATAAATCTAACTTGCACTGCATAAAAAAAGGACTAATTCTGAACTACTTATCCTTCTGAAACCATTAAACAGAACATATTTTTACACTAAGTACACCTCAATACCTCATGTTCTGTTACAGAACAGAATCTGCATCCCTTCATAAATTCCCAATACTACTCAAAACTGTCTCCTGCAATGGATGGTAATGAAAATCTATTGAAAACACAAATATTTAGGATGTAAAAGCATTGCATCACAACCATTTTGTTACTGTCTACCAAAGTGGCCATGAAACTGTATGAAATTTACTTAATAAAAACCCTGAATTAGTATTAAGTCTATTGTTTCTCCGAGTATGAGAGCTTCCAATAAAAAAAATCCCTGAAGAAAATGAATTATAGGAAAAACAGTTATACTGAAATAACAACTTTTACATTTACTTTTTGGTAGGAGGCAACTTATACATTTTCTTAAGACAATGCAAGGTCAAGCAAACAAACTATAAATATTCTCTTTATATTGCTAATACAGTAGAGTGTATATAGTGTTACTTCATCAATCTCGATCTAGGCTTTGTCAACGAGGCAGAAAAGCTCTTCGAACCTCTTACAGGCAGTCTCTGGCAAGCAAAGGCAAACTAGCATGCCATCAGCATTAATCCCACCTTCAGGAAGAAACACACAAACTTGAGGAGTTGGTGTTAAGTCAATAGGTCCAGCATAAGCAGGTATTCCCCATCCAAAATCAGCTGATTCATAGAGTAGAAACCTTGTCCATTGTGTTATTGTCAACTTTCCTCCAAACTCAAGCGTCTTAGGCCTTCTAACCTCGACATAGTCCACTGTGGACCTCACATAATCCTCATTAACACTAAGCCTTGCTCTGTGAACCAAGTCAGCTGTCCAAGGGAGTGGGTGATCGATAAACTCTTCAACTTTGCTCGTGGCACAAGCAATACACACTGCATTTCCATAGAATCCATCCTTCAATGGCGGGTCCTTGAGCATGTGGCGGGTGTTGACTGTGAAAGTGAGGCGTAGCTCATAGTCTAATGGCTTCACATCCAGAGCTTTCACCCATGACCTCCACACATGAGCAGCCATAGCATCAAATGCAGTGTAATTAGTATCTTTATTGGTTTCTTGAGCCAAGGACTTGACTTGTTCTTGGAACTCTTTGGTGACTTTATAACATTTTTGTACCGGCTTCACTTCCCACAGCGACCTTGTTAGGCTCGATTCATCCACAACACTCATGAACTCAATGTGTGGATAGTTTATGAGTGGTGGATCTCGAGGAAGGAAATATTCTCGGTCCCAGCATGGTTTAGGAGAAGCGACTAAAGTTCCTACTCTAGCCGTGGTAGCCCAAGCATTGAAGAATTGCATAGCACCTATGCCATCACAAAGGCAGTGACACATTCTCAAACCAAGGCTAAAGCCTCCATCGCTAAAATAAGTCACTTGAGCTATTAACAGAGGCATGTCAACAACTTTGTATGGCTCCTCATTAGGAAATCTGTATATCAACGGTGACCATGAAGGATTTGGGGTCGACAAGTCCCCTAGGTCAGCTAAGGCTATCGATGAGTGAGCTTCAACTATAAGAGCACCTTGGTTAGGCCCGAAAAATATCTCTAATTTCCCATTGCTAGTCTCCCTAATCCTCCCTGAGAAAGGATAATAGGGGACTAAAACAAGAGCCAGAGCATCGCGTAGTTTCTCTACCACATTCTTGCTCATGGATGGAGTTGAGTGGTAAAAATACACAGTAGGGGTAAAAACCCGACAACCAATTATGTCATCTAAGTTGGAGAGATAGAGAGTCTCTCCATGATTGACAGGGATTGGGCCTGCAGGAAGCACTGCCTCCTTGTGTTTGATAGTTGCAGGGATGGAAAGGTGGGGAAATTGTATATCTTCCATCACGGAAGCCATGAAAATTCAATGAATTAATACTATTATTATGAGCTTGTTTTTATAGAAATATACAATCGGAAAAATCTTCGGTTGTACATGCAAAGCTTCTTAGAGAAATAATCTCTGTTTACAAAGAGCGACGGGTTGCAGATCACCTTGTCATGAGTTAAAAATAAAGATGCTGGAAAAATCTACTAGACTTGTGTACATTGGAAAATGCATGAGCAGAAGTGGTTAGACTGTGGAACCAAATTATCCCTCATAAAAGATCTATTTTCTTGAAGTATTGCCATAGACTGCGCGCTTAAAATAACAAGATCTTGACTGAATATTTGTTAACTGTATAAATTTTTTGATAACAAATAGGGCATGCAAATTAAATGTATGAAGCATGGAAATATTATGAAGATCAGTCTGAAAAATTGGAGGCAGAAATACCCATTTCTATACGCAAAATATATGAATAATTCATTTGCAAAGGAAGCAAATTACAGATTACTGGTGAGAACTTTAACAAGCTTAAGACATCAAACAATGACACAAGCATAATAGTTCTGCGAAAGACAACGAATTGCTCATAAGAACACCTTGTTATCTAAATGACCGAGGGCTGGACCTTTTAAGATGAAGAAATAGGAGTGGAGTTGTTGTCAAAAGTTGTTCCAACATGCTGAATAACGAAACCATAGATCTTCCTCTTGAGTCGTTCAATCTTGTCAGTTAACACTTCATCCCTTTTCTTGACAACAAGATCTAACCAGTCATTTATCCTCTTCAATTGTGACAAAATTGCAGCAATTGATCCACATTCAACTGGCAGTTTCCGGCCACCACTGTTGCCACACTCGCTGAAAACACGAAATCCAGCATCTAATGATTCTTCCACAAACTTCAAAAACCACATCTCCATCTCAGACTTTAAAGTAATTGCTAGCTCTATGGTGTCTCTTATTCCGTGGCCTCTTGTCCATGTCTTTTTAGGTGATTCTGACACTGTTGAAGAGGTTTTTGAGTGGTTTTTGGTTGTGCTTCCTATAGACTGGCGTTTTGAAGAGCTCTTTGGTAGGGAGGGTGGTGGTAGAGACTCAGTGTTTTGGCCAGTAAGAAGGGAAACAACGGCAAGGTCAGTGGAGAGAGAAGCTTCAACCCAAGCAGAGGCAGACTTTGATTGCTCCGTAGGAATGACAACATCATGCGCCTCAGAACTATGGCTAGATGAAACTGACTCGACATTGGCAACTGCTCGTGAGGCACTGTCATACATGGATACAAATCTGTCTATTGTAGGTAAAGGGTTTCCAGCTTTTGATGAAGAGCAAAGATCTGAAAACATGCTGAAAATACAAAATGAACATGTCACTATTTATTATTGATACAAGTTCCATCTAAAATGGAAAAAAATTTCGGACACATCAGTGTGTTTAAAGATTAACTTACCTCAAACTCCTTACAATAGACTCAGTAGCCAATGCTTCTTGCAAAGCTTCAGCTGCTGCAGTTGCAGCAATAGCCCTCCTTTGGATAGCTTCCTACAATCATTGCAAGCATATGCACAACTGAGAACCTCTGCAGTTCATCAAGAAAAAAAAAAAAAAGATAATGTGAATAGCTCCCTACCTTCCCAAGCTTTGCAAGGCTGCCTGATACAGCGTCTAGTGGCACGCTACCATCAGTCCATTTCTTATCGTGAATGGTGATTCCAGCAGCTAAAGCAAACGGCTTGCCAGGTGTGACAAATTCATCAGGGGTGCTAGATTTGGACTTGCTATCAGAAGTAGAATCATCCTTTGATTCATGACTATGTACATCACTTAAACGGCGAGACAAAGCAGCCTGCAATATTTAGCACCGTCAGGAAAGATTCAGTTCAATTATGTAGTATGAGGGTCATGAAGGCATGAACAATAGCTAGGAAGCAAAAGCATTTAAAACACTATACTGTCAAGTGTCAACAAACAGTGAAATGAGATCATGATTAGTATTATTTTAGGATTGAAATGGATATATCTCAACAAAAAACCCAAAAACTAAACATCATCTACATGCTTGTGAATCATTGCAAAAACTTCTTACTGATTCCAGTTTATCATTGCAAACACTACTTACTGATGCAGTTTATCGAACATGTACAGAGAAATAAGTTCATTGCCAGAGTAAATTTACGCGGTAATTCAACTATGTGTGGAAGATGGTACTTCTAGGCTCACACAGTCACATATCATAGAATTACTTATCACACATCAATTTAGCTAATGCAAGTCAGTACAGAATGAAGATGCAATCATGACCCGGCGATAGCTCTATGACTCTCCGAATTCTTTAGAAGCATTGCTATTCATACAAGAGGATTGTTTTGAATTCTAATAGGCCACTATTAATCTACAATTACGATATGCCACTATTGTTTTAAGTTCCTATCATTTTTCTCCATACAAATCATGGGAGGAGTTTCATATGGCATCCATTAATACAAACATGAAAGGTCAAATTCTGAACATAAAAACCCCCAAAAATTATATTAAGCTATATACAGACATGAAATAATTAAGTTAGCCATAAACTTAAGCTCAAGGAACCAACTTTATTTCACGAACAATCAAATGCAAAGTAAATAGCGAAGCATCACATATATACAAACAAAAGTTTCAACAAACACTTAACAATAAAATTAGAAACAAAACACGCATGCAATTTCTATTGTACGACCAGTTGTAACATACACGACGTGACAATTAAAACAAACTTAAATCAAAACATAAACCAAAAAATCGAGCAATTAGAAAAACTACCTGAGTTCTAATAAGAGCTTGCAAATCAGGCTTATTACTCTTCAAATTACTAATCTTCTCTTTAACCTCACCTTCATTATCCCAACTCTTCCTTCCTCCACTACCACTCCCACTCCCACTTTTTCCCAAACTACCCTCAACCTTCAAATTCCCAATTCCACTAACAACCCCACCAGTAAAACTCTTCTTCCTATTCCCTGAACTTCCTCCACCACCAGACAACCTCCTCGCAGGCGACAACGACATCCTCCTCGATGCCGGTGACGCCGCCCTTCTCCCAGCTGTTGGCGACGGCTGCCGATACCGAGACGGCACAACAATAGCCGCCTCCCTTCCCGCCTTCCTCCCTTCCTCCGCCGCCTTCGCCTCCGCCAAACTCGGCACAACACATTTTGATGGAACCGGTGATGCTGACCTCTTAACTTTGGTCATCGCCGGAGAAGGGTCCCTCTCTTTGACTTTCTCTCTTCTCCCCGCCGACACCGCCCTCTTCGCCGGTGCCGGAGAAGTGAACCTTTGTGGGGTCACCCCTAAATTCTCCTTATTACTATTGTTATTATTTTCTTCCTTTTCCTTCTTCCCCTTCTTCTGAAGAAGAGATAAAATGGGGTCAATTGAGTCATTAGAATCCGAAACCGGCTGAATGACAAAATCCCTCTTCTCCTTCGAAACCCGAATAGTTAACGGCTCCGGCGACCCGATAAACGGGTGTCTCCCGGAGACGGGTCGGATTCCGGTAGCAAAAGGAATCGGAGACGAAGGGTCGAACACGAATCGATCAAGGTAAACAAATTGACCGAGTTGAATGCGATTAGAGAGGATGAGATCGGTGTCACAATCAGAGAGGGAAATGTAGGTGGAGTTTTTGGAGTCGGAGAGTTGAAGAAGGAAGCCATGGTTAGGCCAAAGGTCGAGGTTAGAAGTGGGAGTAGTTGCGGTGTTCGATAGAGAATTAGAGGGTAAAGTTGGGAGGATTCCGATGACTTGGAGGAGAGCAGAGCGGTGTTCGCCGGTGGGTTTGGTGTTTGTGTTCATGGATTGAAGGAGTTTAAGGAGGATTCCTGGGGTTAGAGTCGCCATTGTTGAAGGTAAAAAAGCTCGAGTGAAGAAGAAGAAGAGGAGGTGAAGCTTAGGGAGAAGAAAAGGGACGTTATATTTGAGATCTGAAGAAGAAGGTAAGTTTTTGAATTTGAGGAGAGAGAGAGAAGAAACGAGAGTGCCGCTTATTTGAAAGAGGGTTGATTTTGAATTTTGTAAAATAACGTTCGGGACCGTTACGCTGTTGTTGCTCTTCTTGTTTTGGAAAGAGTATTGTTACGGAGTACTATCTTGTCCCTTTTCATTCATTTTATGAAGTCCGATCTTATAAACTTTGACCTTATTCTATTACTAATACAAATACAGAGGAAGTATAAATAAAAGAAGAAATATACGTAGTAATTAAGTGCGATATATCTATTTTGATGTACTTTTTAAATGAGTGTTAGCTAATTAGAGATATAAATTGTGAAAAATGAGACTTGAAGACTGTAAAAAGTTAAATATTACAATTACTTAGAAATGAAATAAGTAGTTTATTTTAAAAGGAAATTGGATGATTGAGAATCTTTGTCTTAGGTTTGTAGGATAAATTATACTCTGTATAATATAATTGTACACAATACGGATGTAGTTGTTTTTTTAAAAATTTGTGTTTTATAAAAAAGTTTACATGTAAATACTACTTCCGTTTCTTAATTATGTAAAATCAGTCAAGTAAAACAAAACATAGTTAGACTTATGCAAATACTTTAGTTTTTTTATTTTTTATTTTTATTTTTTAGTGTTTAGAGAGCCAAAAAGGCGGAAATGAGAATCAATCTTAGGATCTCATGGAACCGGAAGAGAAACTCTAACTACTTGAGATATCCCTCACTAAGTCACTCTCATGCAAATACTTTGTGTTTGTTTGGTTAACATGGTTCCATATGAAGTTGTATCTTATGAAAGTTGTTTCCTTAACGAAATTCCTAAGCTATTTGGTTTTTGGCAATGAGAAGTTAAAAGCCCCATGAAGTAATCGTCCCACAATTGCCTATTTAATTACTAGATTTAGTGAGAAGTTGAAATATCCACTTCAGTTTGCAATTGTCCCACAATTGCCTATTTGCCTATACCTAAGCCGCTTGGATTAACATGACACGAAATCAAATTACCCCAATGATTAGTTTTAGTCCCCAAACCACATACAGTACCAAATAAAATTATCTTATGCTTTTTTATTTGGAAGAAGATGCTATTCATATTTGATAAAAAAAGTCATTCATTTCAAATAAAGTGCAATTAATATTTGGGCACCAAGCGCATGGAACTCCCAAGAAAACCAAATATAAAGTAAACACAAACATATACAAATATCAGACAAGATGTGTATAATTTGCCAGTAAGATTTTTCAAACTTTGTACACAATTTGTCACAGTTATTTCTCGAAACATTTTATAAAAGAATTTGCAATCAGAACACTTCATTTAAGCATCCACTACAGTATCTGCAAATGGCAGCACCAAGACTGCTTTGACTAGATGTAATCAGAAACATAATATGAAGATGAAAATGAAGAGAAATGGCAGAAACAGAAAGATCAGAGAACCTTTCATCTAGTAAAAACTATTAGCAATGTTTACAACATTCGTGAGATATTACATATTGTTCTGCCGAAAAAATTACCTGTTTCAATACTTCCAACTTAGCCACACACTGTTCTCTTCGCTCCAAGAAATAGAAACCAAAAAACAAGGAAGAAATAAAAGCAATCTAAAATAAGGGACAAGCCCAATCTACAATAACACCTTTCTTTATTGTTCATTTAAATTTTTCTCAACCTATATACTCAGCCAAAAAGGTTCTATGAATGACATTTATGCAACAAAAAATAGGAAAAACATCAGAAATACTATCAATACAAAGAATATCTTGATCATCAGCCATCTGTTTGAGGATATACTGTTATAGTACCTGACCAACTGGTTCTGAGCCCCTTCAACATTTGCAAGGGTATCCTCCATGTTCTCGTCAATCCTGCAATAATGCAGAATCAAGGTCAGATCACAAATCCAGATTTACATAGGAGAAGCATGCAAACTTTCCCACGAAACTGCACCTTACAGATACATGTGTGTAGTAAAGTTGTTTCATACATCAGTAAGATCTTTTTTTGCTCATACAGCAGGCAAATGGTATATATCATTATATTATACATGCTTTAGATATTAAAAATAACTTGAGAGTCAACTACAGAGACAAGCCAATCATTAGCACATATTTGTATCAGTCAAAACAGCGATCTTAAGCTACAGGATGCAAACCTGATTGCAATCTCTCCTTGTTGTGACACCATTGTTGCCAATTGTGTAAATATATTACTCAATTCGTGAATTGTAGACTCCACATTCTGAAGTGCTTCAGCTCTGCTCTGCATATAAGTGTCCTGTAATGGAACCATCTGTTGCTGTTGTTGATTCTGTTGTTGCAACAATGGCTGAGATTCTCCATCAGCTGATTTTCTGCAAAATAAAGAACAATGAAGTCAGCACCTTAACTAATCAAATTTATACAGATGTTTGAAAGAAACAGAAGTGGGTTACTCATTTCTATTAATTTACATCGAGAAGGAATATACGGAGATAAGTAGATTATACTTCTGTGCATCACTTGCTACCCAGCACATCAACTCTAATGGAATGATTATCATTAATTAAATTTTCTACTCTTCTTATCTAACAGTAAGAAAAGAGCTAAGTAATAGTAGATCAGAATAGAGCTCTCAGTCTATACTCTTCAGGGCACAGCAGATGCGATTCATTAACAGGGTTTACCAAATGCACAAAAGGCAAAGCAAAATTCTTTGAAGATGAAAGTCTGATGTCAACTCCTAATTCTTATCCTTGTTTATTCTATAAAGTTGCCAATATAAAAATAGCCTAGCATCTTGTGAACATGTCAAAAGGACAAAAAAGAGACCCTCTTTACCAATTCAGTTAGACTAAAAAGGCAATGTAATTCTAGTTTCTCAGATGCAGTTTGGTGTATGAGGGGGGAAGCACGCAAACACCAATCATTAGCACATATTGACAACCATATAAAATAAACTTCTGAAAAACATTTGTTACTCAAGAAAATATTGTTGACCTCTTTGGCCCATGCCTCTTCTATTAGAAAATATTGTTGACCTCTTTGGCCCATCACTACGATACTACAAAATTTTGAATCAAATAGGCATTAACAAACAAAGATTCAAGCTTAATGGAAATTCAATGGATAACGTTTGCAAAAAGGTTACATAATACGAAATAGCAAACTACCCAGAGAAGAAAAGAAACACTGCTATATGATTATGATAGAAAGACACCAGCTTCACAGTGAGAGCTCCAGCTTCAGAATACTTACTTCGGAAACAAAGCGGATGAAGTTGAAGCTGCATTAGCCCATGGAGGAGCAGAGGGTCCATTGGGTGATTTGGCTGCCAATGGCCGCTGACGGACGAAAGGATTTGCAGGCTCTTTTGATGCAGTTGACGAATACAGTTGCCTTCTATTCTCATGAACCTTTAAATTCTGCAATCATCCCAAAAAAAGCGGGGTAAGTTGAAAGCATGACAGTGATTGCATTGAGTAAAGCACCACATATTACAGTGCCAAACACCATACCTCAGTTCGCATTGTAAGAACCTCCTTAAACTCCTTAGTTGCTGTCATTAGACGGTTCTTAAGGTTATCTACAACTGTGGTAGAATGACTAGTGGTGTCACTAGAAATATTTCCACTCTCATTTTGGGTGTTGCACAGAAGCTGCAGGTCTACTACAGCTGAATTAAGTGCAGTAATGTCTTGCTTGATAACTGCAGTCAGCTCTTGAATTTCAAGAGTTGGGTCATCAAAGACAGATGTCCTCTTGGCCACTGGAAAACAGATTAATGAGCATAAATCAGAGTAAGATAAATAACACACACTTCAAAAAAGCACCACACTCAGATATTTATGATAGTTCAGTTTTAAGTAAAACTTCAACATCAATTATGAATTCACATCACACATTTCCAATCAAGGACTTCAGCGTGCAACTACATATATACCAAATTCAACATTACGGTCATTAACCAGTACAACACTCATCAAAACAAACCAACCTCACTCACTAAAACACCTGTCCAATAAAATAACTCAGAATGCATCAAGAACATCTACCAAATTCAACACCATTATATCATAAACCCATTTCTCTACTAAACCAATATATAAGCTTAAATAACCTCACACTACATTAGCTCAATTCGAATGAAATCACAACACAAATCTGAAAACTGACGATAGACAAGCCAGCCAAAACCTCCAAAATCTGACTACAAATCAACCAAATCACACCGCCTCGTATATAAGAAAACTAAATAATTTATACTCAAAAATAGTCTCACATACTAAACACAACCTAATCATAGCCTAATTGGCACAATCTCTACACCTTGATTAAGGACGTCAGAGTGTTAGTGTCACATTTCTCCTCTTAATTACTGCGTCTACATAATCCAACATCAACCACTCTTAATCCCATCATAATAAACAAAAAGAATAATTGATCTGCATTAGCAAATTCTGATCAAAGTTCAATTATCATCAACACCTCATCCAATACTCAGAATCTCATAGAGCATCCAAACCATACTAGAAGTAGGAAGGTTTCACCTAGATGCCCTAAGACGTCTCCTCAATTACCAGAATATAGTGTGTTGAAAACATTAGAAATTTTCCTATTTCAAATTTGGAACAACAAAGTATGTCAAAAGTACATTTTGCTGTCAACACTACCTAAACACACAAAAGCTATACAAATCTCTGTCATTGCTTAGTTTATATGCCAGATTGGATCACATCACTCAGTATATTTCCAATAAAATAAATGACTACAAATAAATAGCAAACTATAATTTCGGAAAAAGGTTCGGTCACCCTCATTGATGTATCATTTACATCACCAGTGTAGCTTAACGAAGCATGATCTATCAAGCTAACAGAATTCAGAACTACACTAAAAAGTACAATTCCCATGAAGTCAATCCAAAATCCATCATACTCAGTACTGCAACATTTCCACATCAACTGTTGACAAAGAATCACAGAAAAAACTGCATCAAACTTCCTCCATAGTTCAGTTTTAGGTAAAAGTTCAACATCAGTTATGATCACTCACATCACACCTTTCTAATCAAGGACTTCATAGTGCAACTATATACCAAATTCAACATCAAGGTCATCAACCAGTCCAAACCTCATAAATTCAACACTACTATATCATAAACTCATTTCTCTACTGAACTGACAATAAACAAAAATAACCCCTCACACTCCTTATCTCGGTTCAAGTATAATCACAATACAAATATGATCACTAACATTACACAAGCCAGCTAAAACCACCACAATGCGACAACCAATCGACCACATCACACGGCCTCATATATAATACTATAACACTAAATGATCTATACTCAAAAACAGTCTCACATTTCAAACACAACCTAATCATAATCAATTCAGCACAAGTATTCTCCAACCCTTGATTAAGAAAATCAGAGTTTTAGTGTCTCATTTGCCTTTCATATAAAGCATCTACCAAATTCAACATAAACCCATCAAACAAATACCCAATTCACTCTATAATACATCATTCCAATCAAAACAAAAACCCAATTGCATCAACAAAATCTGATCAAAGTTCAATAAACAAAACACCAAATTTGATCAACCACATTATACATTCCCCGATTCCAATCAAAACATACACAACACCAACTACAGTTGGCAAAGAACTTACACTTAGCGAGCTTGGCAAGCTTCTGGGAAGTTTGATGGATACCAAACCCGATCTTGGAGGCCCGTTTATTGAACTCCGATTGAATAACAGCGGATCTAGGCCCATTAACCTGAGAAACATCAACGGAGCTACTGCTACTCGGATTATTCGGCCCATTTGATGGAATCGACTTCTTTAACCTCTCTGCAATGCTCTGAAACTCGTGAGTTCTATCTCGATAAGATGATTGCGCAGACCTCATTTCCCAAAATTGAAGTTTATAAACCCTAGAATTTTTTTCCAGAATTCACCGACAATCATAAATTGGGGAAATTTAGATCTAAAATCCCTAATTTCTGAGGTATTATGTGATCTTTTTGTTTAATTGATTACCCAGATCTCGGGATCTTGGAAGGTAGAAGAGGAATTTTCTTTGAATTTTGTTGTCCGAAAAAAAAAATTTAAGAGATACTCTCTCTTGAAATTACAGCAAATTTAGAGATTTTTTATTTTATTTTTCTTTTTCACTCTAAATTTCCAGAAATGTTGTTTTGGTAGGGACAAAGAAGAGTGAGTAAGGAAGGCTATGATTTGAGATGCCACGCTGGCATATTTAATTTTAGCCGTCGATCTTTTTTTTTTTTTTTTTTCTTTTTTTTTATTTATTATTATTATTATTATGTTTTTGTGAGTGGGATGGAAATGCCTTAATGAATGATGATCATCCTGTTATGTTGTAATTTATCCACAAGAAAATGAAAAATTAGCATGTACTTAAAAAAAAAAAAATCCTTTGATGCACTTGAGAGTAGGAAACATTGTAATTGAAAAGTGTGTTACATAGTACCAAATTTTTGTGGCATACACGTCATTACAGAGCATCATTTTCAGTACTCCTAGGTGCATGAAATAATTTGCGACTTATTGATGAGTGATTTTTTCTATTCTAATTTGTTCTTTTGCATATAAAACACTATATTAAGTTGTAGTGTGACATTAAAAGAATAAAAGAGAGAATGTACATTAGATAACATACTCCTAAGTTGTTCTTCTTATTTATGCTTGCTAAATTAATTAGCTTTATATGGTCTAATTCAAAGACATCACTTACACTCCTAATTGTGCATCAAAGGTTTTATGCCTTTATGAATTGTGTGTTGCCAAATTTGTGTGCCATACATGTCTTTATAGAGCATCATCCTAAGTGCTCCGAAGTGTATGAAATAATTTGCGACTTACTAGGTCAATTTCTATTCAAATTTGTTCATTTGACAAACACTATATTTAGCTATAGGGTGACGTGCTGGCATTCCAAGAAGAAAAGAGAGAAGGCAAACTAATTATGTAGTAAAACCATTTTCAATTTAATCTTCTTATTCATATTGCTTTATATTGTATAATTCAAAGACAACACCTCCTAATTGTGCATCAAACGCTTTGTCTTTGTGCCTACACAGCACACACAACCTCCACATCACACAGTCCCCTTGCAAGATTACATAGGCAGTCATCGCAACAATTTCAACAGTATCTTTGAGTGTAGCACTCTAGCCCTGGGTTCCTTCAAATACTTCATATATGGCAATAAAGACGACTCCAATGAACATTTCTTAGATGGCTTCATTTAATTCGTATATAATTATTATTGTTTATTTTGGTAAAATGCATAATGATAAACTTTCATTTCTTTATCCCCAAGTCCAATTGGAATTGAAGACTAGGATAATGTGATCAAATTTTTTTTGACAATAAGGTATATAAAAATCAAGACATTAACATTATTGACTTTAGCTGGATCTTGAATTTTTGACACTGCCATAGCCATTCATCTAAAACAAGTAGTCAAGCAATACAATGTCATCTTCACTACACTAGTAAAAATTTACTTCAAGATGTGCACATTATCTAAAAGACTTACAGTTCTCAGGCAGAACAAGTGAAAAAAAAACTATAGAAGAACAATAGTTTGGCATCAAGCTAAGTATTCAAATATAATGTTCCCATGAAGGAAGAATGTAATTTTTTTTTTACAGTTCACTCAATTTCAATGTCAATATACAAGAGCCAAATGCACATAATTCCTCTACAATGACTATTATCCGTGAAGACCTACAAAATTTCTCTACTACATTCACTGAACAAGCAAAAACACGATACATACACTTATGCTTGTCCATAGAACCTCAAAAACTCCTTTGCGCAGAATCCCAGAGGAGCTGTAGTCAATCATGATCGGAAACTGACAGCTTCTGTCTGATGGATCTCGATCAGTGATCATAGCCAGGCCATCAAAATCACAGTCCCAGATATTCTGACCCTTAATCTGATAATACATGTTGAAAGCATAGGAAGCATTCCCTTGGACTGACAGATGGTTGCATGAACATCCATAGCCTAAGGATGTGCAGTCTGACAAACTACAAGCATAGTTTATGTTATCAGGCAAGTCCCCCAAGTTTGTAGCATCAGAGTTCAAAACACACCACCTTTTCTCCATATATACCACTCCTTCCACTGGGATTAGTGTCCTATCTTCTTGCATACCGGCTAAATCGAGTTCATACTTTGGCATTCCATCAAACTCAAACAGCCCCCAATGCCTCTCAAAGTTCCCTGGTGCAATGCTCTTGGCATTCTCATCGATCAAACTGAACAGGTAGACATCAATTTTGCCCTTCCGAAGTGGAGTCCCTTCCCCACACATAATATGTTGAAGAAGGCCTTGATTGAACCTCTTAGCATTCTCAGCATTGGCATGTATATCACCATCAGTCGGCCAACCTACCTCTCCTACTATAACCTCCATATCAGGGTACCCAGCTTTGTTCAATGCTGACAATAAAGTATCAAAATTCGCGTCAAACACATTGGTGTATGTCAAACCCTGGTCTCTTATAGGCACATTTGACCCCTCAAAGAAAGCATAGTCTATAGGGAAGTTCTTGTTTCCATACAGACTAAGGAAAGGGTATATGTTGACAGTAAAGGGAGCACTGTTTTCATGTAAGAACTGCAGGATTTCGAGTGTAAGGTCTCGAACTTCAGGCCTGAAATCTCCAGCAGAGGGCACAGGATCCGACTCAGGAGAGTAGTAGACATCGGCATTGAAAGGAATTGTCGCCTTGATTCGATCCCCGTGTCCTGCCCGATTAAGGGCCTCTTGGATGTTCCTGAGGGCTGGTAACATGTACTTCAGGTATGTGCCATTATAGGTCTGTAGTGTTGGCTCATTGCCTACTGCAACATAGCTGCACAACAAAAAGGTAAATCAAAGAATATTGTGAGATCAAAATCAAAGCAATAAAAGTAACTTTCAACAGTACACTTTAAATCTTTATCACTTAATTCTCCACAAATTTCATCAAAAAACAATCAACATCACGAGTAAAAAAACCCATCAAATTCCTAATTCATCAAGCAAGATTCATAAAAAATCCAGAAACACAAAACCCATCAAAAATTCAGTACTTTACAAGACTAAGAACTTAAAAGAAGCAAAACATCAAACAGTTGGTGTGTACTAAAAAAGTTAAGAGACTTAACTTGATATTTACACCACCAGAATAGAAGTAAGAGGTAACATTAGCATCAACCCAAGAAACAGCAGCATCTGGATCACTACTCATCTCCTCCAACATATTATTAGGAATTGCTAACATTACTTCAATTTCAGTACCAATTAAAGCATTCAAAATATTATCATCAGCTTCAAACAACTTCAATCTATCAAACCCATTATTTTTCAGCATCTGAACCACCATATCAGCAGGTAACTGATGAGTTGCCATGGTACCCCAATTCACCCCAACACTTAAACCCTGAGAAAATACAGCCGCCATTACTAAAAACAGAGTATAACAGTAAAAAAATGCCATTATTAGGGTTCCTTCTAAAATTGTGATGAATCTTGAAATGGGTATTTTTGAAATTAGTACCCTTTTCAAAGTTGTGAAATGGGTAGGTGAGATTTTGGGAGAAAAGGGGTGTTTTTGATGATGGGTATGGTAGAAGAGGAGAGAGAAAGAGAGAGATTCGTTCCTTAGTTCTGTTATTCAGTTACAGGGCCATGCAAATGGAAGTTATAGTGCTGTGATTGCTGTCATTCCCATCTTTATCACATTCTTTTGATTTTGCTGAGGCAAATTGACATAAAATAGTAATAGTATGTATTCTAAGTAAGTCATTTTAGATGATTTCATACAATACTATAGTTTTTATGTAGTTATCATTCATTACTTTACCAACAATATGAAGTGAAGTGACCTCTTGGAGAAATTGGTTTAGAACTAAAAGATTCACTTTCTTTAGTCAAATTAAATGGATAAGCACTACAAGTAGAGTTAAAGATTTGAGAAATTAATTTTTTGTGTTGTTCATGCATGGTACTTTATGGCAAAATTGAGTATTTGACTAATGTAAGAAATTTAGTCGAAAAGTGTGTTACTACTCCGTAGTAATGGTAGTAATTAAAAAGTGTAACAATTCAATAAGTCAAGAGATATACGGAGTATTAATACTATATATTTAAACATTGATTATATCTATCGATTTACAATTTCTTATAAATTTATCAATAATTTTTTTTTTTTCAATTTTTAGATCTAATTATAAAGGGATTGTACTATTTTAAAAGATAAAAATAAAGCAAATGGACATTTCATGAGTATCAAATGACATCATTTCACTTTTGATCTCAATCTAAAGCAAATGACATTCTTATGTATATACCATGCTTCCTATATTTTATTATTCTATATGGATGAAAAACCCAATGCGCTAAGGATGCATATTGTAACCTATTTGGAAAATATTGTTAGAAAATTAATTTCACATGGGAGTCATAATTTTATAATCTTGTTTGATTTATCAAACGTACACCAGCTTCAAATATTGTAATTTAACCGTACTCTTTTCTTTCAATTATTGTAGTATAATACGAAAAATAACTTTAAAATTAATTCTAAGAAGTAACATAACCTTCATAATAGTAAACTTTCTTTTAAGGTCAATTGGGATAAGATCAAGAACATAAATAACACTAAAAATTATCATGAATAGTGCTTAAGATTTGTTTTAAAATGAAAATTTTGAAGCAAATCCTTCAATGGCCCCCAAGAATTTAGGGTATATCCAGACAAGATTAGCCACTCTAAAAAGCTCAAGCTCAACATGCATCAGCAAGAAGTAAGCATATTTTTGACTCAACTTTTGCTTAAAAGTTCCACGAAAATATTGTCTGAAATCCCAACTTTCCAGCCTCAGTCTACGTGTTGCTCATACCCATGCAAAATTCCCTCTTTTTTCCCATTTTTTAATTTATTTGTTTACATCTTAAGTGAATAAAATGTAAAGAAAATAAACATATACAGTTATTTGTGTATGCTTTATGTTGTAAAAGTACACTTTTTTATTTCCTTTTTTTTTTTCCACCATATTTTTTATCTTCAGTAAAGAGAAATTGGTATTGGTCCTTGGTGCTATTCCAGTTTGGAAGGAAATATTTAAAGAACTTCTTGTCTCCCATTCTACTGCACATGGATTTTTGCAAACAATAACATCATCCTGAAGAAAGTTTGGCTATTGGTTCTTGCTTTAAAATTTAATTCTCAATATAAAATGATACAAGTTCATATTATAGCAAAAAAGAATTAATAGATAAATATTTCTATTCTTAGTAATAACCATAATTTCTGAAATATAATAAATAGAAAATCATAACAAAATACGTTGTACAAACCGCAGTATTTTCAATATATAATACTCGCGTAGTATCTCGTAGTAGTTTTGCTAGCTTTCTTTCAATTTTCAATAATTTATGCAAATTCGATATAGTCAAATGATAACACATTATGGCTAAAATTTAACAATAATATTTGCTCTCTCTCTTTGTTTCAAAAGCAACTCCTAAACTAGTGTTAGTAAAGATCTTCAAAATGCAAAAACCTGGGTTAACAAAGATACGACTCTCTTAAACCTATCTTGGTTAACATAAATTCCAAGGACACATAAAAAAGTAAGACCACGTTGAACCAATTTCAAGATACAATAGCTTCTTCATCAAGGCATGCTTCCTCGGGGAGTCTGAAGCTTAAGCAAAACATAGCCTGTAGAAGAAACAAGTCGAAAAATCCATAATGAAAGAAGCCTGGAAAAGTTGACACATAAAATGATGGTATTAGCAAATTATTTCACCTTGTTTGGTGCAACATCTCTAACCCTGTGGAACACAGGATCATGTATCTTAGCATTCAACCTAGACTCGGCGACCTGCAAAGTAATTTAAATTTGCTTAGTTCGTTCATCTATTTACTGATCTATACAGAAAAAAATAAGATCTGAAGGCATAACAAAAATGGGGGAGGAAAATGCTGAGAACTAAACGAATATGATTTAGGAAAATGATAATAACTTTGATAATATAAATAACACTTCTCAGAGTTCTAACAATATCTTGTCTAGAAAATAAAAATGACAACGCAATTCCTCATTCACAGCTTTTTATCAAATTTGTTAAAATACACTTCTTGTAATTTACAACACTTAGTTAAAGGGAATACTAACTTCACCAATCAGAAACACAAAAGAAAGGGGGAGGGGGGGAAGCGAAAGAGTGCTCCTAAAGACATGTGAAAGCATATAGAGAACATGGCTTACTGAAATTATGAACTCTTCAGTTTCACTTGACCGGATGAAGCAGTAACAGTGAATCCAAGGTAGAAGCCCTTTCCAATATTTTCGGCATATTAGACCTTTAAACGCGTCTGAAAAGAAAGAGATTGCATGATGCCAAAATCAACAACTCTAATTCTTTATTATTGACCAAATTACATGTACTCATGACTCTTTTTTACTTCTAGGTTTTGATCGTTTGATGAGGAGTGGGGTAAATCAATAACATAATACTAAAACAGACACTATGAATGACACGTGTCACTTTTTGGTGCTGTTTTTTCCTCCAAAATAACCCTCTCTTTTTAGCAAAAATCTTTTATTTTTGGAATATTTGGATAATACAACTATAATAATATATTATTCCTAATCTTATATACTCCGTATTATATTTATAATAATTGTATTCTTCTTTATTTCGTATTTTACTTAAAATAGTTACACAAGATTTTGAGACCTTTTAAGTAAGAGAGAATAAGCTATAATTTAAATGATTGAAATATGATGGAGAGTATAAAATAACGGGGCCAAAAATTCAATATTAACATTTAAATTACCATCATATAGTTGTACAATAGTGGGGTTCAATGGAAAAAAAATGTAATAATTTTACCAACTTATAACATTTTTCCCCCTTTAAAAAATCTATTAACTATTACTAAAATAGGTCTTGCTTACATCGATTATTTTGGACATATGTCAAGCTATCATTAAAAAAATTCCCGCCAATAAAATATATGATGTTAGCTTTAAGTTTTTTTTTTAAAAAATTTATTACTTAGCTTATTTTTTGGAAGTACATTGTATAGTATTTTTTTCGGACTAAATTAATTCATTTATAAAAAGTCATACGACATCTAAATTGTATAATTTTATTGGCAATAACATGCATCATTAATATAATATAATGTACAGTATTTTAAAATATTTTCAACACAACTAATCAAAAATAATTTATTTTTTTCTCAATTGTAGTTTTAATAATTTTTGCCTTGTTATTACATCTTTCTTATATTCATTGCATTGGTTTTTTTTTTTTTTTTTGAACGGATATTCATTGTATTGGTTCGTTCCACATGAGTTGCCTCATTTTTATATTATATCACAAATTAATTATGGAAAAAAAGGTTATTACTACCGTGCATCGCACGAGCACTAATCTAGTTTACTATCTAATTTGTGGATTAGATAGCCTTTTTTTTTTTTTTTTTGGGGGGGGGGGGGGGGGGGGGGGGGGGGGGGGGGGAAGGGATTTTTGCAAAAAAAATCTCAAAAAAAAGGCGAGTCATTGAGTTCAAAGATATAGAAGCACCAAAACAGCAACTAGTAGAAATGTTCTTTTTCCAACATAATATGGTACTCCATTCATATATGCAAACTGAGAACACAAGAGCATGAGTTAAAGCTTGGCTCATCAAAGGTATACAAATCAAGATGAGAGGAACTGGCCAATTTCCATTGGATGTTTCCAAAGGCAACTATCATTTTCCAACGTAATGTCTCATCGGAAGGCAATGGACAAGCAAACTATAAATAGCAAGAATTGAAATTTGTACCAACTTTGAGAAGTGAGAAATTAATGCATTATTTTAGGTAAGAATAGTATTACCAAGGAACTCCAATGCAGAAGCGGGTAAATTCATGACCACATGGTCAACATGCTCCCATGGCTTCACAGAGGGTACAGAACCCCTCATCCTCTTATTAGTGCCACGTTTTGTGCTGTGAGTACCAGGTGTTTCTGCAGTTTAACAGGAAGGCGGAGATCAGCTATACATTCTATCATACAGTATAGGTGAATGTGCGCTGCAATAAGGTCATGATACCATAAAATTAAATCTATGATACCTTTTTGACAACATTCTGCAGACCTTTTGGCAGGACTGACTGGTGGATCAATCTTCTCACTATTGCCTCCTGCATAATCCGGAAAATTTGTAAAATTAAATCTATAACTATTTAGCCTTATGTGCAAGTGACAGAAGAAAATCTCAGCCGCAAACATAAAGATGAAAAATGCTTCTTAAATTTACCCTCTATATTCCTATTTTCTGTTTCACTTTTAGACTCTCTGCTGCAATCATCAGAAGCATTTGGAACAGTCATTAATTGAGACATGAATTTTCTCGCATCCATATTGTATGTGAAGATGCAATCATTGACCTTGTTGAGTTCTGCATTTATTTTCAAGAACCGGATACTATCTGGATTTAAATCATTTGCATAAATCAAGCACCCCTTTTGTGCTGCTGGGATAGCAAATGGGCCAATACCGGCAAACATATCACAAATGGTCTCTCCAGCTTGGAACAGAGAAACTAGTCTCATATGTTCATGTTCTAATCTTGAGTTCCAATAGACCAAGCTGTAATCAAGCTTGAATTTCGCCTTATATTGTTTCACCTCTGTAACCATATCATTGTCGCCAGCAAGGATTTCAAACTTTGGAACTCGAAACTCGTTTGTAATTGTGCCAACTTTATTGACCACAGTTCTGATTCTAGGGTAATTTTTCTGTAGTAACAAAATAATAAAATTGTGTCAGGTGATGACTGATGAGGGCATAGCTAGAGATAATTGACCAAAACATTGAAGATCATATTGAAAAAGCTCTGGTTTTTCTTTGCCTGAAAATGATCTCATTATGAATAGGCAATAACAGCGAGGACACCATAATATGAATAATACCCCAAAAAAAATGTCAAGTATAAACACACATACATCATAAATGACCTCTGCAATAACATCCTTGTATGGAAGTAGTTCATCAGTGATATTTAGATGTGCAATATGACCTGCATAATAATAACAAATAAAATGTCAATGCACATATCATTAGCTCATGGCAAGAGCCAAGAAGTTTTTAGCAACACTAATTCCAAATGATCCAATACAATCTCATTCAAGAGCTGTTAGTTATTCCCAAAATAATCATCCTCCAACATGTTTCAATGCTAGTGATACTTTTCTTATGATTATGAAAACGTCAATGTAAGGTAGTGCCATCATAAAGCATGTATTTGATGGTCACTTTGTGAGAGTTATTACTTTAGAAAATTTACTTTCTAATACTCCCTCTAATCTGGAATAAATGTTATTTTAAGCTTCAATTTACACTTTTGGTGCTGAAGTTGATTACTATTCCTATTTAACCCTAACGTAAAACCAACACTACCAAATACAGGTATTTATCTGGGTCTAAGAGTTCTTATGCAACAGACTAGAATGAAAATGAACCAATTGAGTACATAGCTATAAATAATTGAACATAGCTAGATATACAGGTATTTAATGATGGTATCTGGGTCTTAGATTTCTTATATTTATGCAAAAGACTAAAAGTCTAACATTCATATTTTACCCTAATGTAAACTCAAACATAATCGACTACGATCATTGTAGGTAATTAATGATGATATCTGGGAATCTGGATTGATTTGTACTTTATGAGAAAGAAGACTAAAATGGCAATTAAATTGGATATGCGGAAGGTGGTCATTGAAGGCATGAAAAGGAAAGTTATCTACTGCAATTATATTAAAACTTAGAGCTAACAACCTGGCATGATGATCGATGATGGTTGGCATTTGCCTACAATTCTATTTTCTTTTACTTTTGATGAAGCACCTCAGTAGTTAGATAGTCCAATGTGCCAAAGAAGCAAACGGAATGTCCTAAAGATAACTGGAACAGAATGAAAACTTAACTATAGTCTCAAACGATGATGGCACCTCAAGTCCTGCAGGTAGAATCTGCTTCAATATATGATCTGCAAGTGAATAACAGGTTGATCAGCAAAGTGATTACTGTAACAGTACAAAAGCAAATGCCATCAGTTTGCATCTAACTTTCACAGAAACTACCACAAAAGAAGCATATAGCTATTTACCATAATCACTATGCACACTAAACATATACTCCTACAGCACTTTTGAGTTCTATCCAAATAAGTCATAATCAGGGGGGAAAAAAATAACAGGCATGTCAGACTTCTCAATGTATTTATAAAGCCGATCTTGAACTTCAGAAAAAGTTTGATCCCATGCACTGCACCAATCCCGACTTATGTTTACATATTGTATTAAAATTCTAAAGGTTCTGATCCGAGTATAAAGCCAATGGTTGAACAACTCAAATTGTAGACCTTACACTATTCTTTATAGTCACTGGCTCACTGCTATTTGACCCTTATGTTTACCAAGTTATTAACTTGGTTACCTACGATATCCATTTCGATCAATTTTCTCTCATTTTAATAGTAATTTATAATGTTTCAAGTAAAGCCCTACTAAATATCAAATGAACAATCAGTGAAAATAGGATAACATATTAAGACAAATTCTGTAAGTATGACACTTAGATTTTCTTTAATCTAAAAATGGTCAACATTAAGACATACTTCATCGTCCTTAATAAAACTTCTCCTAATCACAATGAGATTTGCACAAAGCTGCAGCACTATAGAAGGCATGGGAAACAATTATACACAGACACAAGGTATTGATGCTTGATGAGTATTAAATTCCTTAATGAAAGAGCATAATGAAAATCTGATAGATAGACCACAAATATAAAATGAATCAAACAGAGTTTTTTTCATATTCTGAGAGCATGCACTTTACCTGCACCCCAGTAGGAATAGCCAAGGGTCAATGAATAAGGAACCATTTCTATCTCACAATGCTTCCGGAGTTCGTCAAGTTTCTGCTCGGGGATATCAGACAAATCTGTCCAGCAAAACAATATTTATCCATGAAGCAAGTGAACAAAAACATCAAAACAATCACTATTTTAATCTTACTAGGAAGAAAGGAGAACAATTTCAAAGATAAGAAAGCATCATCCCGAATCTGCTAATTTTAGCCAAACGATTAATCAACAAAAATCAAAGAAGTCTCTCAAGGGCAATATTTCAACTTATGGTAGTATTTGAACAACAGGAAATGTCTATGTCATCTGCTTCTAGTTTGTTTGTGAAGTAGGTCAATCATTTGCCTTTCAGATTAATATTGCAAGGAAAAAGCCTTTTCATGAATGAAAATTTAAGCCTAAAGGTGCCTTTCCACAACTCTATCAGGTAAGACTTACATTTAACTATTTCTTCCCACTGGACAGCTTTAAAAAACCAAAATAAAACTCAATACCAAGGAAGCATATATGATCAAGATGGATCTTTACTAGATGGAATGACCATTAGCTTGATAGACTTCGAGGTAAAGCAATACTTCTAATTTAAAATAAAACACGTGTGGACAAATAAGGAAGTTAAATAATGTAATAATCCCTTTACAACCACCAAACACTAGGCACTGCCAAGTGCTGGAGAAGGAACTTGTAGAATCGAGAAAGAAACAATATAGCATCAATCAACAAAAACAGTAACACATCAAATATAGAAAATAAGTGTGGCCAGATTCTGTCTGAAAGCCAGCAGTTGACTCCCAAAAACAGGGGAAAAAATGTAGCACTTTGGCTACACAAAAAAATGTATTTAAAACACATCACCTTTATTCTGTATTTTCTCGGACAATATCATGTAACGATTTTTTTCGGTTGTTGGATCTTCAGCTACCGGCTTCACACGAGGCCTATCCAGCAAGTATCTACATAAATAAAAAGGTCAATTGGAACATTCAGCCACAGAAAAAGCGAGTACTGAAATGAAAAGTGCTATGCTAAGCTAAATGAACTCATGGTCTATCTCTCAGAAGATAATGCAAGACAAAATATGTAGGAAATAGTTACAGAAGGAAGAATAGACTTTTGATAAATATTGACAAAACATAAAAACATCAGTGGCAAATACCCATCAAGTAGCCGAGTGGCGGTTTTGCAGATTTCACGAGGGACTCTAAGCGCCCAAAGATCAAACTTCACATCAAAACTACTTTTGTCCAGCATCTCTACTTTTTCTGCTTCAACCACAAACCCAGCAATGAATTCCACAATTACAGGTTTTCAGTAAAGCATCTACTACGTAAATAAGAAGCTTCCAATCATATTGGATAAACAAATGAATTCCAGAAAACCCATGAATTGATGAATATTCATGCCAAAATTTCCAACCCCATTGAGGACTTTCGTCGAACAGCTAGTGTGCATGGAAATATACATACTCATTTGAACAATACGCCCTCAAATCTAGTAATTGAAACATCAACTTGTATATTTTAATAAACATACAAAGTAAAATCTCCGAAACTGAATCAAATTAGCTCAACAAACAACTGGAAAACATAAATCGGAATAATTGGTACAAAGTTAACATTTTTGAAAATAAATTAAAAAAAACTGGCGAAAATAAAAAATAATTCATAACATTGTGCTACGGAAAAAGAGAGGAGAGAGAAAACATACACACAAACACAAAAGTTGCAGGGTTTAGAAGAAGAAGAAGATCTGGAGAGTTTGCTGGTTTTCCGATTGAATTTAGGGGTTAGCGCAATTGTTCAGTGGCAGTTGGAGCTGCTTTTCTTTGTTAGAAGTTACCCGCTAAATTTCTTAAACATAATTTGTAATTTAACCCCCGTTGTCTTAGAAATTAACCATGTCATGATGTGTCACTAATAAGTTTGGATAAGTTTCACGAAAATTATATATGGAGTATTTTTAAGAGTAAATTTTGTTTAATTTGTTGAAATTAGAATGTACTTGTGTTAATGTACATGATATATATTTTTTTGCAACGAAAAATAATTTTAGATATGGAGTTTAAAGAATTGTGGTTAAAAGTTGATAAAATGACTTATAAATTATTAAATACTCGTAGATAACTTCCAAAAAAAAACTAAGTTTGTGTATTGGTTTATAACAAACGGCAGCATATAGTACAATCAAATTACTTTTTGAAAAAGAGAAGTGTTTGTTGATTTCAACATAATACTCGTATATATATTTGTAAAATAATAATTTTTCCAAGTTTAGATTGAAATTGAGCTAGATATTTCTAATCAACAAACTTTAATAATTGCACTTATGTTCGCAAAGTTTCATTCTAGTATATTTTAAATTTGTAATGAAACACTTGTGTTCAAAATTAGTACGTAACTACCGTAAAGAAATTTACCATAACTTTACCTTGTACTTTGTATAACCTATTTGTCGATGTTGTTTCCAAGTTTTGTGCACTTCGTATATTCATCACACATTCACACATGCCTGCTACATCGCCTACACGGCCAAAAGGGAAACACCCCCAACAAGGCAACAAGCCAACGTACAGAAGGCAACTAATTATGAAGATGTATAACAAATAATGGGAGGAAGAAAAGTTACAAACTGGTAAATGAGGTAGAGAGTTTGCAAGAAGTTAAATGGAAAATTGGTTCTAAATTTTTAAGCCATGAAAAAATTATACTTTGTAAGACTTATATTTAAAAAACATACACTGTGAGGAAGATGTATTGATGTATACACAACTGTATTTTACAATCGGGTATACTCCTAATTTCAAAAGCTAATATGAACATGAATTGTTTCAAATACAATGTGCGAATTCAAATTGACTCAAAAATTGATGTATGGAGTGATAAACCTTCGTAGAGATTAATTAGGAGATCCCAGAATTCAAACACATACGAAGTACATTTTTCTTGAGGGATGGCTCAAACCTACGAACCCAACATTACTTGTTACTTCGTACTTGTTTTCGTTCTTGGTTCACCCCACCCCTCCCCATGAGATTTAAAGGAACCTACCTAGTTTGCAAGCCTGATAGATGGAACAAAGTAGTATAAATCAATTAACTTAATACTTCTAGTTCAATGTTTCATTTCATGACATTGTGTTCATCAACTAAATAAAAAGTGAGTACATCATTCATCATGAAAACTAGTCTAATTCACCTAATTAAATTACTGCCCTTAAACTTGCATTTACCAACAAGGGCAGCAAGCACTGTAAAATTAGACACTGTTTATGGCTTATATATACACCACCAGTCCACCACCAACATCGGAGTCTTAATCCTAATGATAGGGTCGGCTACATAAACTAAGATTTCATTGCCATGGAAAGCTACTATACTTTCTCATTATGAAGGGTTCTAATTTCTGAATTATCTGATTAATCTTCAACTTATAGATAAGCCTTGGAAAAGTCTTGTACATCCCTGAACTCCTGAAAAGGTATCATGATCTTCTAATTAAGTAAAACTCTTAATACCAAATAAACACTGCCTGAATCAATAATCTGAAACTCTGTGATCATGCCAACAAAGAAGCATAGTAACACAACGTCGTAAAATATACACCCTCGTCTTCTGCTGCTTGACAATCGATAAACACCGCCGTCTGAAGCTGGTTTTCCGGTGGCGTTGGCCTCGAGGCAATGATCTTTGTGAAGGAAGGAGGTAGGAAAATGTCATGGTGACTGCAGAGAAAAAAAAGAACAGAGGAAGGTGTGTTAAAATTTTGGTTGAGAAATAGAGTTGAAATGTTGAATGAATCAAACATAAAAATCAGAATCATATATTTATACAAAATCTTTGTTGACACTTGACAAGTTGATATTGTGGTCCTTAAATAAATAAATTACATCAACGTGATATAATGCTTATTGCTTACATGAATTACATCACTTATATTATGTACTTACTACTAACAAAAAGGTGTGTAAATGAAGAGTCGTGTAAGACAGCAATTATAAAAGTTCCCAACTGATTTTGACACTTTTTTTTTAACTGTATGATCGTATCACACCTCTTTCCACGTCTCATCCACGTAATCCAATTTGTTTTTGAGAGCACTCCAAACATGTTTTATTCTTCTTTTTGGAATAAGTGGTTTGCAAATCATTTTCAAGGAGGATCAAGTGTGATCCTAATCACCTTTCTATAGAGGTTTTAGTTAAATTTATTTTACCGCTACCTCGTTTAGTTCGTGACGGTTATTTCCTTTTAAGAAATTCTCACATACAAGTTCTAAATATATGGGATTTTCTAGTGAATTTATCATCTTCCGTAACTAGTGAGAAAATTTTGCTTACCAACTAAAATCGGATTAAAAGAAATTGTATTACACATGGTAAGAGAGGAATTTTTTTATTATTTTTTATTTCTTACCAAACAATTACTTATTTTATTTTGTATATTTCAGATAATTGTATTTTTCCACATCAACCACTTTAGGCATTAATAATGTCGGCTTTAAAATTTGGCCACAGTATAATATATTGGCTCTGTAGAATAATTTATACAAAGGGGTTAGGGGTTATGATAAAATGGTCAAAATGTAGGCAGAATATATGCAACGAGCCAAAGTTGATGATGATTTTACCCATTAAGCCGCCTGGTGCCTACTAGTCAACTTGATGAAACTATATTCTAGAAATTATATTCTAAAATACATCACCCTTTTTTTGTTAATATAAAGAGAGCCATTAATTTGGTCCTACCTTACCTTATCCAACAATTTAGCTAGTGCAACTTACATGTGCTCAAAACTTAAGTATTTTCCAGGAAGAACACAATAATAGACTATTCACTGGTATATATGGAAGCAAATATCTAGAACATACAGTATAAGAAACAAAAGCACATACAGCTTGACTACTATAGCACAGTAACTAACAACCTAGCTAATGGCCAGCCATGAATGGCATTATTGTGATAGTGATGCAATTAACGTTCCCAACATAAACGCCGCCAATGGAACGTCTACGGCACTAAGTCATTTGTAGAGCTGATCATGGGGTAAGGCGGGTCAGACTTTGGACCAAAAAGTTGGCACAGACCCAGGTTGGAACAGGCCAGGCGCGATCAATCTGGGGGGATTGTGACTGATTCGATCTAGAAAAGAATATTTGGACCAGGAAAGTGGCAGCCCAAACCTGACCTGAATGAGCCCAAGCTGGACTTGATCAGCAATGCTTTATAGGTAAGCTTATCAGTATCAATACCAAGTTAAGACTTTCATGTAAATTTGGAACTTTACAGTCTCTAAATCACATTATAACAATAATGTCATGTTCAGCAGTTTGGCATTTACATTATTAATTAAACTATACTTGAAGGATACACTATAAGAGTCATAACTCATAAAGTCATGAGATCCTGAACTGTGGAAGTTAAATAATGCCTAAATGTATTTACCCCAGTGCTCATATGCTCGGCTATGAGTAAGCAATTCATCGCGTTTTAAGGTGGTAATATTTGTCCAAAAGCTTCTCTGTATACTCTCCGAATGTGAGGGTACTATTTGAAGGTATCAACTGGCAAAAAAGTAGAGATTAAATATCAGTTCATAAATACATGGCATAATTTTAACAATATAATGAGCAGAAAAGAGATGCTAATTAAAAGATAATCTGCAACAGCAAGTTCCAATGTCCCAGAATAATAGTTCCACTTTCATCTTGTTCATTAGTATGAATAGTATCTGTAACACAGTAGCATTTTGATAGTTACTTTGTCATACTACACAACCTTGAATTTTCTTTCGTACAATTAATGTCATCCATAATTGAGAAACATAAGTTGAGATGGATTTTCAGACAAAGTAAATTTGGAAGTAGATGCAATGCTATAAACATTTACCCCATACATAGAAATACAGTATCATTCTGCCATTCCCTCAATATATAACCTTGAACCAGGAGCAAAATTCATAAAAAAAAAATTGGACCCTGATATGCTTTCATGGAATTTTAAGATAAAAACACTGCTCAATGCAAGCACGATATGAAGCATTTCTTCCAATTTTACAAAGCAATGGCCTTCAATATCAGAAAGCTAATAACACTTAACTATACAGACGTGACAAACTACCACAACAAAAAGAAGGATAAAACTTGAAAAAGAAAAATTACCTCTTTGTGGATATGTATATTGTCTGGAAATTTAAGCTTTTCGCCCCTACAAAACCAGGAACATCATTAAACACAGATCAGCAATGACTTCATTAATTAACAGAATGGAGCATTTCTTAGCAAATTAATGTCAAGTCTTCATGAAGCAAGCTTTTTCAGGGTCCAGTCAAAAGAAAAAGAACTTGTTTCACAGTTATTGGCTTTGAAGAGCTTGTTTCAAGGTTATTGACATTGAAGGCTGAGCCTAACGTGTCAAGAATACAAATCCTTCCTTCATTGTGACTATGGGGTATATATTATTGAAGCTTGAACAAATACAGATGATATTAACACAATTTCCCTCTTAAAAGGATAGCATACCAGTCAGGTTGCATAAATAATGCAAAAGTTGACCGTTCAAGACCAGATATCCCCTTGCCACTTGGTGCCTGAAAATGAAAGTGATTTGCAAAGTTTATATGACCCCACATAAAACAGAAAACAAATCTAAGCAACATTACAAAAAAGTAATTAGGAAACAAAGAGTAGCATCAAGTACCCGAACACAATGTGGCGTAGCATGAAGGTAGCCTCCTGAAAGAATTTCAGTTGTTTCACCAATCTGATATGCAATTTCATCTTCTCCAAACACAACCTACAAATAGAATGGTCAATGTCTCAATCTAAGGTATTGAGGAGATAAATGCATTTGGTCTCTGATACCACGACACGTCACTTAATGGTTCAAGAATCTGCAGTTCTGCATATGCACTCCTGGTTTTTTGTTTTTTATTATTTTACTCTATTAATCATGAGTTACATAGCTCGTGTCACTAATGCTAAGTACAACTTTGATAGACAGATGGTTAAATGTTGCTCGTCTCATTACCGTTCTTTATATCAATTAGGTTTACTGTGAAATCTACATAACACTGCAAAAAAATTAAACATTTCTCATAGACCTATTCATAACCAACGTATTGGTGGTTACAGTTGTCTTTCTTGGTGGAAGTACTCTAAATGTATCTGTACACAAAGCATCAAAAAGAATTACAAGACAAATAAAATGACCAATTAAGTAAAGTGCCCCTTGGTTTCACTATTTCAATACTGAAGTTATGTGCAATTGACAGTGACTGCAAAATAAAAAATAAAAAAATAAAAAATAAAATAAATAAATAAATAAACTATTTTATCCATAAAAAAGACAGGTTAGCTATTACAAGAGCATTATTATTATTATTTAGTTGAAGTAGTGTCTGCATGAAATAGAAAGAGGAGAACCAGGAACAGAAAGGAAAACCTTGACCGTTTCATCATTCCTGGTCTTTACATAAAGACCAGCAGCTCTATCAGGACAAGCTACCTGAACTCCATCTTTCAAAAACATGCCACACGTAAGACCTACAAAACCAAACTTACGCATCTGAGAAAAAGGAATAAATAAGCAGAAATAATGAAAAGAAACAAGAGTCACAGTAACCAAAATTATTTACAGGTGGTGCCACTACAATGCAGAAAAGTATGAGAAAAATTATAGATGACCCAGCAAAGTCAAAACCTATGCCCGTCATGCAATTAAAGGAGCAAGATCCAAAAGCTTCTAAATGGGTGGATATTCTAAATTTATACAAGGTAAAGGAGAAACGAAAACATAACCCAGCAGGACCAGCACTGCAAAGTTGGATTCCTATAAATTAATGTGGGAACTTATAATTTAAGATTTATCAAGTAAAAGTGCCTTGTGCAAATGAACCTCAAATCAACCTATGAGTCTATGACTTCTTATGCATAGTATACCTCCATCACAAGCAATAGATGTTTCAAGCCGCATCTGATAAACCCTCTTCAAATATCCACATGTTCACCGCAGTAGAAAAAATGTTTTAAAAAATGGAGGAGAAAAATATGTAATTAGCAGCAACGCTCATTATCTCAACTAAACAAGGTAAGTCTCTTACAAAAAGCATACTCCCTCGTACCTATCTATTTGTACATGAGGCCATGAGGGTTGTACACGGTTTAAAGGAGAGTGAAAGTAGAGTGAATAAAATGAGCAGGCAGGGCCAAAATTTAGATAAAAATCTTACCATCTAAGGATGTAGCAGATAAAAAGGGATGGCACAAAAAGGAAAACGTAGGGAATATAAGAGACAGAGAGGTGTTGGGCATTCTAGAGATAGTGCAAGTGTTAAAAAAAAAATGAATTTTCAATTGACAGAAGAATTAAGAAAAATGATCAATGTTTGATAATAAAAGTAATAAAAGTACATCAGATCTGTCGAGGAATTCCTAACCTGTAAGGGAACCATGGTCAGTATGCCATCCACACCAGGAAGACATTGAGTCATCTTTCAAACGATCACTGTTGGATGTATGCTCATTAGCAACAAGTAAATGGTCCCAAGATAAACGATATCAAAACTAAACAAAATACAGAGATACTTCCTTCATGAAGAATTGCTACATTACTAATTTTTCACATTCCGAAACTTGCCAAAAGACGTGCTAGTTGGTAAATTATCCTCACATTTACACATACAATTGAAAATGACGGCAAGAGCTTGAGACAAATCGAAGTATAGCACAATCCAACTCTCTTACAAAATTTGGAATATAGAAATCTGGAAGACACAGAATAACAGATGCACTCTTTTTCTAATTGAAAAGTGCCAAATGCTAAATTTGATAACAAGTTCTTGACTCCTTAGTTTTGAATATTCTAAGCAGACGAGTAGTACGCACCTAACTATCGGATGGTTCACTTTAAACTCTGAAAGCCTACTAATATGGTAATAATAACTGGAAGGCTAATGCAGACAAGGTTTCTTTATATTAGGACATCACGTTAATTCACCTCTCTTGTGTCGGGAAATAATAAAGAAGCCGACCCTTATGACAGCGTGAACGATGAATTATTTGTTCAAGGCCTTCATCTTTGCCAATTTTCATGCCTTCAGATACTGCAAAATTTGCAAATAAAATGCAAACCAAGAAACCATTAATGTCTGTACAACAAAACAAAAGAAGATTCACATACACAAACTTTCCCTAAAACACAAAATCATTTTGCCTAAACTTGGGTATATATATGAATAACAGAACCAATCTGTGGCTGAAATGTAATGCATCAGGCTTATAAAAAAGGTAAAACAGGAATTGTCATTATATGTCAGTTAGAGGTAGCTTGAGCAACAAGAACAGGAAAATCAGTAACAGGAGGGAATTAGTCGGTCAATAGAGAGAGAGAGAGCATGGGAAAATATATTGAACTATTTCATTTTATTTTAGTAGTAATTGGGAGAGAATCTGACAAGGAAAGCCTCTCGAAAGCTTGAATATCATTTACATTGTATTTCTATTTCATCAATCAGATTCACTCTCTTCTTTCCTTAGTATTCTGTCCAATATTCCAGTTCAGCAGTTCATTACAACATGGTATCAGAAGCACTATTCTGGGAGATTCGATTACATGAACAACTAAGTTTAGCCTGTTCTTTATCATCCATTCTAATAGCAAACCAAAGTAGGAAACTAAAAACCTGCTAGGAATTGGGTTAATTTCAGAAAAAAAAAAACAGGGGAAATTTGAGGTAAGAGAGAGAGAGAGAGAAGATTGGTGTAACTAATGGTTGTATTGCAAAATCAGTGTGATCCTACAGCACAACGATGGCCTTCATTTGAGAGGAAGGTGCTCTCCACAATAGCTACACACTTTCTGGATGCCCCACTAATTACCCTCATTACAGCTTAAATAGCTCTATTACCCCACTCCTAAGCACACCTAAGCATGCCCCCTAACAGAATTATATTCTGTTTTACACAAAGACTAATAAGCCCCCATAACAGAATTTATTATTATAACAGAATGCCCTTAACCAAAACTGAAATGCACTAGCCATGCTGCTTCAAATATTTCCACACTTGCGCCTTGCATAAGTTGCTGTAATAGGAGGCCTGGTTACGTTCCTTGCAAAACCATATAAATTATAAAAAAAACAAATACTCTCTTCATTCATTTTTACATGTTCCACTTTGATTTGTGCAGTATTTATATATATTCTAACATATTTTTGTTAATAATATATAAAACAAATGTTATAACATTTTTCTCAATACATCAATTGTTATTAGATTTACAAATTGATGTCAAAGTTGTGAATTGGCAAATGTGTCAAGTCAAAGTAGGGAACACGAGGGAGTTCTCATTCCTCAATGAGTAGAAATCTGCAGATGCCTAAGCTAGATCAATATAACAGGTGAATTTGTGTCAAAAATTACAAGACATTGAGTTCATGAATTGTACCGGCTGAAAGGAACAGCAATATACAAAATAATGAGTAACATATAGGAAAAAAAGGCAGAGAGAACAAATTCAACAAATTACTATGCTAGAATTGGAGATATTAACAGGAACATATCTAAATCCATACAACTGTGCATCAGAAATATAGATCTGCAACTCTGCAAGACTAAAACTCACAAGAGATGAAGTATAAAGCAACAGACTCGGGGATACTGTAAGACATGAAATGTTTATATAGGATATACCATATCGATCGCAGTGATATGCTACCATCATGCCAACATCAAGCATTATCCTTCCAATTGCTTTAAATGCTGCACAATATTACAAGAAAAATGGAGGGTGAAAAAAGAAAAAGAAAAAAAAGAAAAAAAAAAAAAAAACACAGTAATTTACATTCTAATTCAGAATTTGCTACATCTGCGAGACAAGGGAATACTAGAATACTATAATAAGTACAAAGATACAAAATTGACAGAAGTGAAGCTCAGACTTTTAATATAGATCAAAATTATCAAAGTAAGAGGCAATTAATAATTCATAGCCAACCATAAGATAGAGAATCAGAAGTAATCAATGACTGCAAAATTAAGATAATGATTTGTATGAATCAAAATTTAGAATAACTAAAAGGTTTAATGAAACTATCATCTAAAATTGGAAAACCAGTGTAGATAAACCAGGGAACAATACATTCCAACATGTAATCCTTGCATAATATAAGCATCTAACAAAGCTTTTATCAAGATCAGCTATGTAAAGCTTGAAAGCACATACAAAAGAAAAGGGGGGAGACATAAAGCAGTGTAGCAGAGAGATAGCACAAAAAATTGGAGGGAAGAAAACAAAATATTGAGGTGGTATCAAAGAAGATAATATGAAGTATAACAATGTTCTTAGTGAACATTGATTGCCTATGAAGGTATAAACTAAGCCAAATTCGATTACATGTGGAAAAAGAAGGTAGGGAATTTAGAGTACTCATTTCCACAATTAATCAACAGCTGCCTACGGTTGATTATCATACTCTAAAAGTCTAAACAGTGATCATATATACATTCAGTCTGATAGAAATGGAGGGGGGGGAGGGGGACCTACAATAAAATAATATTAAAAAAATCTAAAAAAACCTCCTGGTGATGCAGCATAACTATATATTTCAACCAACATCAACTAAAAATGGAAAAACACAATAACGGCATCTAATCAACAGCCACACACTGTATAGATTATTCGCAAGATATATATGTTTGTAAGTGTCTGCGCTGGACAAACTTACCAACTTCTAGTTCTGGCAAAGCACTTTCGGGCCATATATTTCGCCCACAATATGCTGGGTACCTAAAAGGCAGGGAGTGAGCAAAATATGAGTGGCTGCTTAAGATTGTATCCAAGTATGGGACATCTTAACTATAGAGAATAAGTTATTAATTATGGTATACCCTGATTTAGGTTAAAAACTGAGAACATATGGCTTAAAACCAGTGAAGCAATAATGCATTAATTACTTGTCAGATACATGTTTTTATTGAGGTGATTCTTTATACAAACTGGACGTAGAAAGCCACTGATCATCCTAGGTTTATATTCCATATTTCACTGATGCTCTACCAAAACTGCACCAACGTGCAATATACAGTCTAACCCTTAACAAATCAAGATTTATGACACAATGAGCTGATTCGTCCAAATCTCATGAGTAGAAAACTTCATACAAGGCAAATAGGCCTGAAAAAATGACTGTCTATATACAAATCGAACCACAATTTCTAGGCCAGACTTCTGACACTCGATGCAGCAGCATAGTGATTGCATAAAGGAAGGTGACTTTTCGAAGGACCTCTCTGGGGTTGTGTGAATTTTTAAAAGGTTTAAGGTGAGTTTACCTTCTTACCTGGATAAACCCATCAAAAAAATGCATGTACAAAAATAAGCCTGTGGCCTTGCAAATTCTTCCCTTCAACTACATCTACCGACCATATTGATCCTTCCACAAACAAGGTCTATTGTGGTCCAATACTCCAATTTACCGTCCTTAAGAGTTAAGACCTTAACCCGCATAAATTCCAAACTGTGACAAATTTTTACCCTCCAACATTAAGTATTAGAATCTACAACATTAAAATAGAAATATGAAAACCCAAGATTTTCAATATTCTAACAAAATGACTACAACAGTAAATTCAAAACAGTCAAAAGTTCAGAAAGAGCATGAGATAGCACAGCACAACAGCAGTCTAAATTGAACCTGCTTCTTTTTATTGGAAGAGGCACTCTATGTTACCCCTCTGTTTTGAGATTTGATACACGGAGGTAAGGGCTTTCCAAAATTTGTGGGTGCCTCACTGCTCTCATGATATAGACTACCATCCATATGTTAACCTTTAATTAGTCTTTTTTACTTAGATTATTTCTACTAATGAAACATAAATAATATTATGTAACCACACCTAGCAGGCCAGCACCATGTACAGCTTTAATTACTTCAATTCACAGGTTATTCACAGCTATGAGACTTCAATTGCCAACCAAAGTACTTCAAAAAGTTCAAAACAACTACAATAAATACTTATATCACCCATATTTTCCTGTGAGTCCTGTGACTTGGCCATTTTTTCTTAATAAGAAGCTTTAGCAGAATGATACTGGATGATTATATTCACTGAAAAACCGTAATTATGCCTATATTTCAGCAAAGGCAGCAGTGGCATGAAAAAAAAAAAGCACACAAAACCAATATTTCTGACCTCTTTTACCTTTGAATAAGGGCTTGGTCCAGCGTAGGTACATCTAATAGAGGATTTGCATAAAATGATCCTTTCAGCATATCTGCAGCATAAAGAAGAAAGGCAACACAATCAGAAGATAGCTGAAGAATAGCATGGATAAGAAAACATTTACAGAATTTAAGAGAAATTCTCCACGTAATACATACTATATACACATAAAGGAATACTTAGATGTTATTCACAGGTAACATCAAATATAATTTCATGCAGAGTGACCAAGGGATTTATATATTTTATAGAAAAAGTTTGACTTTCACCGATTCTTCCAAGACCAAACTAACAAGTAACAGCAATTAATCTGATTTCCTTTGTAACGTCATAATTCAAAAAACAAGCACAAATTTTCTGTGTCTCTCAGAGTCTTAGTCAGAGGTTTATTTTCACTAAAAGGGTACAGTTCTCTCCGTGATTGCAATAAATCATAAGCCTAACAATTAACCAATCAGGGGGAATTAGATAAAAATGAAACAAATTTCATGATTTTTTCCTGTTTGAAGCAGTTTTCAATTTATCATTGAAGATGTACCTCTTCAATTCCAATTTCTTTCATAATAATTTTTAAAGGACCCTGCGTCAATTATAATATTTGTTCATGTGAATGTTCTTAGAAATAGTAGCTCAAGTGAGATTTGCCAACGATGCCAAGTCACTATTGGACCAACTCATAAGGATCTGAGATAAAGGCTATGGATAGCAAGATGCACAAACTACAAATGTGGATCACAGCTTGTCAAAGTGTAACCATGACTACATGTGACAGAGGCCCTGCGGCTACAGCACCTGCTAGCAGTGAACAGTCTGCCTTGAAAAGACTGATAGAGGGCAGCGAGATGGAATAGGGAACACAAAATGATCTAGCTATCCTTTCCCAACAAATAGGTCTGGCAAGATGAAATAAAAAGATGTCAGGCCCTTCCATGTTGCCAAATTTTGGGTTCAATCATTCTGCTTTCTTATTCCTTCATTTCCTTATGGATCTGGGATTTCAGATCTTCTTTAAAGCCTAAGAGTGAAATTGATGTACTATTAAACAGCTGATATGAAAGCACAACACATGAGAAAGGGGAATTTTCAATAATGCAGAGTTCCAAAAGGAAGTATATGTTCAACAGTGTAATGAACTCAGCAGCCAAACCACCTATACAACACTACTATCAGAGGTGCAAGAGAGACAAGGCAGCAGCCACAACAAGTCGCAAGGGAAGAGAGGGCCAAGTGGCGCAATAAGACAAAAGGAAGTAGTTGTTGTGACTGTTCTGATTCTCTGAAGGGAAGGGGGCAAGCACCCATGGTAGTGGAGCAGGACTGCAGCTTGAATGAAGAAAAAACCACAATTAAATGCAAGTTACTATTATAATTGCTCTGTATATATAAAGAAGGTTAAGGTAGTAGAAGTTCATGTGATTAGACTTATTTATTTTGAAGAGTTGTATCCTCAAGATACTTTGGAGTGTTGTATCCTCAAGATACTCTGAAGAGTTGTATCCTCAAGATACTAATTTATCAATCAAAATCATTCCTTTCGCTGCCAAATCATTTCCCTTGCTTTATACTATTTGCTTGCTTGCGTGTTGAGCCCTTAACAAACAGCAACCCTCAGCTAAGGGAAAGTATCAAGCCTTGCCCCACGAGATATTTGTGTTTTCATTATTAAGTCTGATGAGAAGAGCTCCCAAAATCTATGCTCCATAGCAAAGTAAACAAGAGTCTATAGCTTTATTTAAATTTGGGATGGAATCACTTACCAGGAGTCCCAGATTCAAGCTTTTCTTTCCCATGACTCCAACCAAAGTTGTACCTAAATATTTTAGTTGAAGAGTCATTAAGTTAAAAGACTATATAACACATGAAACAAAAAGTGCAAGGTTACAGACCTTATAGTGGAATTGCTTATTTGAAAATAAAAGTTCTCGTAAGATGCCTATGCTAAAGAATGGAAGCCAATCAAGAGATATGGATTTCAGCTCCAAAAGCTGTTAAACTGCAGGTTTGTTACATGGACAGTATATAGCATATAGATCTGGGATCCTTGAAAAGATGTTGGTTTTTTGCTTAATATTGCCAAGAGGATTTAATGATCTCTAAAAACTAACACCTAAACATAATCAGTGGCAACACAATACTTAAATTACATTAAAAATATCTGGATGCATCTATATATGCTCCCAAACAAGGTACGATAACGAGGGTTACCTTCACATAATTATTGCCAGCAGCAAAGAAAAATGTATCATGCAGAAAGATAAACTTTAAACACTAAGGAACAATCAATAGACTAAATTGCAAATAGGAGTACTTAAAAGAAAGGAACATGGCTTAATGTGCAAAAAGCTAGATGTCTTGTTAGACAGTTACCTGCTATCAGGATCCTCAAGTTTTTTCTTCTCTTCCTCAGGAAGTTTTGCTAATCTGAAAACAATTTAAATATGCAGAACATGATTATCCAAATTGTGCTGCTACTCTACTCCTAATTTATTTGACAAATGCCCATATATTATTTGTCGTTACATAAGACATTGAAAAACAATATCGAATTCTTACTTGGGTGATAGACGGAGAAGAGTCTGGCGCAATGAAGAAAAACCTGGAACCTACATAGAGATATAAAATACATGTGAACAAGACCAGTAACTCAATAAGTATGTAGGGCAATTGTGTATTATAAAACCACCAATTAAAACTTTGCAGACAATTGCAATTAACAACGTTGATTCCACTATGACAAAACCTAGATAAGGTATCAAACATGACTGAAGCTAGAGCCTTGTATTGACCTAAACTAATGCAATGAACTCTCAGATCTAACCTCGAGAAGAGAAAATTGATCTTTATCATTCTTTGAGCATGACAACATCAAAAAGGAACAAGTATGGGCTACATGGGGATATGGTACAATAGTGTACATGGATCCCTGTACTGCCTTCAAACATCAACATTCCTACTACAACCTTTACACTCCAATTTTACATGACGGTCTCACGTGAGTCACGTCCAATGTCAAGCTTTAGGAAGCACTAGTGTCTTTTGGGAGTGGTGATGTTATAGTCATAAGTCATCTACCCTATTTGGAGCAAGGTCATTGATAAAGGAAATGGTAGTGCATTGTTATCTTAGGAGCACCATGAATCATGATACAAAGTATATCATCTTAAGAAGGTCAACGAAAGTTAACAAGCCCTATAACTTCTTAAGACTCAACTCCATGATTAATTTCGACAATTAAATCATAATTCGACTCGTACCGATAGGGCCGTGTGTATCCTCTATTATACTATTTATAAATATAACCTCCATCTTCATCACCTAATGCCTTGTAAGTTTGATCAAAGATAGTACTTCTAAATTAAAATGCAAATTGAATAGAGAAACATAAAAATTAAGAAATTAAATACTAATAATTAAACAAACAAGTGAAATTATGAAAATAATTACGTTGGAAATTGAGATAATCCCGAGTCCGTTAGGTCCAAAACCTTTTTCAATCAAAGCTGACAAATCCTCGTTCTTATCCTTCATATTCAATCACAAATAATATTCCAACAAAAAATGAGCAATAATCAAATAAACTTAATAAATATATGATAAATTTAAACCAGAAAAACACAACTGAAGAAGAAACAATACTTGGATGTCGGAGAAGGGAATGGTGACCGGACGAACAGTCGGAGGATGAGCTTGAGAAGAAAGCGACATCATAGAAGCACGAAATTGGAGAGAGAAAACCCTAGAATTTGGGGGGAAATGCGAATTGTGTTGAATTTTGTTGTGTGAAAATGAAGGTGTAGAAATTGCAGAGAGTTTCAAAGACATCGGCAAAGTTTGGCAACTTCGCTTGCTTTTTATAGTAGGCTAGTAGAGTTTGTCTGATAGTTCAAATATAAGAGGGAAATAAACATTTGGATTGTTAAGACTCCGAGTATTACGAGTAGATTAATCATTAATTTAGCGGATTTGCTAAGTGGGTAGATCGCATCTGTCCGGATTTTGAGTCAATGTAAAATTGAATATTTTAAGACTTATTATGTGACTAATAATATTAAAAATTAATATAAAATTATCAATGTATGATTATTTTATCAACATATAAATAATTTAGTTAACTAGTTTGTAAAATTATTCTCAAAAAAGCTAGCTTGAAAAATACTAATAGAATAAAGGATAGATGCTTGAACACACTTTCTAATCTCTAAGGTTATTCGATGGAATCAAAGTCAAGCAATCAAGAGAATTTAACTATTTATATCGGCTTATAGCTTTAAATTCATTACATATGTTAATTTCACCTATTATCGATAATTTCATTGAGATTACATCATACTATGAGATTATACAATCCCTTGTGCTAACTTTAAGGCTTTACCGGGTTTAAGTGTATCTATGTATGTGACTATATATGATCCGTGCATTACATACACCACAATCTTTTAGTGGCTTGAATTCATAAAATTATGGAATCTTTAATTGTCCTTCAGGTATTAATGACGAATTGGATTATAAAAAAAAAATGTAGACACGTCTTTGATGATAAGAAACTAGCTTATTATAATTTAATACATGTTGTAACACACTGTAAAACTGAGTTGAGGAAAAAAAAAAAGTATTTCACTTATTCGTAAAAAGGTCCAAAAAGAAAAAGGTTAAGCTTTCTCCTAATTCAAAAGTGGTCAACCATGTTGTTGGGTTTGGAAAGCCAACACAATTGTTGTTGAAAAGTTAGATGAACCTATGGTTACATGTCTAACTGATGACAACAATAAAGGTTCAAGCATCGAGGATAAGAGTAAAGTTTTAGCGAGAGACAATTCTACCACCGATCTTATTGAAGTGGAATCCGTAGGTTCTAATGAAGATTACCCCAATTTTTTGAATCAGACCAAGTGCAGTTTATTCCCACCCCCAATACCTTCAAGTTCTCTGCCACGACAAGGAAATATGGAAGGCCACTCACATCTAGGGTGAAGAACAGGAAAGGTAAAATGTATTACAAGTATTATTTTTGCAGGTCTAAGAAGCGTAAAAGAAACAAGCTCTAAGCATCTTATGGCTAGTGACTGTGGTGGAATTTGTCAATTTCCATATTTAATATTGATATATTACTTAGCATTTCATGAAAGTTGTAGCGTACCGTCACCCCCCCCCCCCCCCGGTTTTGTTCTTGTGTTAGTTTGGATAAGAGATGTGATTAGGGGATTTTGCTCCCACCAATCGAAATGCGCCACGTGGGCCAATCAGGTCCTGCCAAGTGTCCCCCAGTTGGACCTCTCAGGGCTTGCCACGTGGCACACGCTTATTCGTCCACCCTGGACCTATTATGTCATGACACGTGGCATACTTCATGCCTAATGGAGAAGTCGGCCACCTAGGCCCAACTTCCGAGGGAAGCCCAATCAGCCCAAGGTTAACCTAAACCTAGATTGGCACGTTTCCCGAGGTTATAAATACCTCCCTTAATCCTCATTAAGGGGGATTACGCAGATTACGCACATTAAACACTCTCACCTAGAGAGACCCAATCACTTTAATTTCCGCATTAATTACTCCTTAATCAAGTACTAACTTGACCGTCGGAGGCGGATCTCCAATCATCCGGAGCATCCGTTTGTTTTGCAGGTACAGGCGTCCGGTTCCAGTCTCGGAATTGTAACTCTCCCGCAGGACATCAGAAAACCCCGAAACATTTTGGCGCCGTCTGTGGGGAGAGTACTTCTGAGATGGCATCCACGTTTGTACCGGCTCCTGAAGAGAGACGTCCCCTGGACGACCCTCTAGTTCAGTCGGACCACGATACTGAGAATGAATTTGAAGTTAAAGCTCACACAGCTTCAGACGGGACCCTAAGGGCCCGACGTACCCGTCATACCGAAAGGAGGGAACGGGAACATCTTCAAATTGTAAGCGAGCCAGCAGGCGCACCGCCTGTTCGGCAGCAGCCGACTGATGGGTCTGCTCCCATCACAAGGAACGAACTCATGACCTTCATGAGGGACTTCAAGGGAGAAATTCAAGAGTTGATCAACAAGAAGCCGCCTGCTCTGGACAAGGAGCAGTCGGCTAAGAAACCCTCCACTTCACGGAAGAGGAAGCCAGTTCAAGGGCGAGAGGCGACCCCTCATCCTAAATCTAGGAAGTGGGAGCCACCTGCCCTTGATTTCACAAAATACCGTTTTCCTACTCCAGGAAATAGGAAACCTGTTCGTCATATTCAGGCGGACCGAGGAAAACATACACAGACGCTCGGCTACTGCTAGAGCAGAAGAAGAGTGACCGATTGTCAGAGTCGGCCTCTACTTCAAACTTCCAAGACAGTCTGCGAAATACCTCGATGAGGCATACTCAGTCGTATCATGAGAGTCAGTCAGGCGGCACCTCCCGTCAGTCCGGCTTTCATAGCGACCAGGCGGTACCAAACTTACCGTTTGTACCGCAACAACAGTATTTTTTGCAGCCACCTCCGTTTGGTGGACATGCAGCAAAAAATGTCCAACCTATGGACTGGCAGCTACGGTTGCTTAGACTTGGCGAACAGCCGTCGGCCTTCTCCAAGGAAATTACTGAAGCCGCTCAGCCGGCCAAAGTGAAAAATGTATTAGTAGGCGCCTATGACGGCACTACTAACCCAGAAGACCATCCGATGGCATTCACCAACCTGATGTACCTTCAAGGGTTGGATGATCCCACTTGGTGCAAGTGTTTCCCAGCGACTCTCAAAGGAATCGCACAACAATGGTTCGGCAACCTGCCGACCGGTTGTGTAAATAACTTCAAAACGCTTGCTTACTTATTCACCTCCAACTTCGCCATGAACATCCCTGCGAAGAAGACGACCCTTGATTAAGGAACAATTCAGCAGGGCGAGAAGGAGGGGCTTCGTTCTTACATCAGGCGGTTTAACCTGATGAGAATACAGATTCAAGGGTTACCAGATGAAGTAGCCTATACTGACTTTTTCAGAGGTCTCAAAGACGGGTCGACCTTCAAATTTGATTTGGTCCGAAAGAGGGTGGCGACTCTTCAAGAGGCCTTGATTGAAGCGGAAGCCTATATACAGGCGACTGATCTTTGTAGTACGGTAAAACAGTCAGGCGGGAAAAGGTCCGACAAAAGATAAGGACGACAGAAACAGTCGTCAAACAAAGACGAGAAGAGAAAAGAGGTTTGGGCAACTGATTCCTCTAAACAGCCGTCCCAGAAGAAGAAAAAAGAATTCAAACCATACTCCCCAAAGTATGCGTTTAACAAGGATAGCCAATTTATCCTAAAGGAAATCAAGGGACGGATCTCAATTGAGAAGTCGGTCCCCATGAAGGGTTCTACAAACAATCGGAACCAAGAAAAATTCTGTGATTATCATGAAGATGTTGGTCATCACACCAATGAATGCATCAGTCTCATGCGGTATCTGGACCGCCTAGCTGAGCAAGGTGATCTTGACACTTATGTCAAGAAATCTACGGGGAACACTTCCTCGAAAAAGCAGTCGGCCAAAAAGAATCAACAGGCCGACAACTCCGATACAGATGATGCAGTCGTCTACACCATTGCAGGCGGCTTCTCAGGAGGCGGCCCCACTATTAGGGGCAACAAAGACAATATCAGACGGCTAGATGTAAATTCCGTTCACCAAGAACGGCCCTCCAAATATTCATTTCCTGAGATTGTCATCACTGAAGAAGATCTAGGAGGGGTAAGAGGGCCGCATGACGACCCTATCGTTATTGAATGTAAAGTGGCCAACCAAAGAGTTGGCCGAATCCTCACGGATACCAGAAGCTCCTCAGATCTCATCAGTAGCAAATGTCTGTCGAAACTGAAATATCAGACTGATTGCATACATCCGGCATCCCACCCTTTAGTAGGGTTTGGAGGAGGAGTCGTCCACCCAGTGGGACGAGTGGATTTACCCATCCGCCTGGGTGAAAAAGTGGAAGGACGACACATGGTAGTCCGGTTCCTGGTAGTAGAAGAACTCTCGGCCTACAACATGATTCTGGGACGACCAACCCTGAATAATTCCAAGGCTGTTATAATCTCATCTCTTATGTTGCTCAAGTTTGAGAGGGATAATGGAACAGTCGGGTCCCTAAAGGGAGATCAGAGGATGGCCCGAGAGTGTTATCTCTCGGATGTCAAGCCCACTGTTATGGCCGCTGGGTCAAGTGGGGGAAAAATAGACCTTGACAATGTCAAGGAGAGTGCGCCTGTTCAAGAAGCAAGCGACAAGAAGAGAAAGGCATCCCAGACGGGGGCCGCAAGAAAAGACAGAAAATAGCAATCATGGGCAGAGGAGCGGTTGGATGAATTCCGCCCTTAGCCGGCTGGTGAGCATACGGACCTGATCTTAGATGACTCGCGTCCTGACAGAACAGTTAAAGTTGGGACGACTGCTCTAAAAGTCCTGGGTGACGATTTTCACAAACTATTGAAAGAATACAAGGACATCTTTGCATTCGAAGTCCATGAAATGCCAGGCATCAGTCCTAATCTGGCGGTACATAAACTGGCCGTGGATCCGAAAAAGAAGCCAGTAAGGCAGAAGAAGCGGAACCATGGCGAAGAAAGAAGTCAGGCGGCAGCCGCCGAAGTTAAAAAATTACTTGATGCAGGGTTCATCCGGCAATGTTACTTCCCAGACTGGGTTGCAAATGTGGTGCTTGTTAAAAAGCCGAATGGCACCTGGCGAATGTGTGTAGACTACACAGACTTAAACAAGGCGTGCCCCAAAGACAGTTACCCTCTGCCTAAAATTGATAACCTGGTCGACTCAACAGTCGGCCATGCTTTGATGAGCTTTATGGACGCCTACTCTGGTTTCCATCAAATTCCTTTATGGAAGAAAGATCAGAAGAAGACGGCCTTCGTCACTGATCAAGGGTTATACTGT